CGGGCCAACAAAATACCGAATTTCCTTTGATACATCATAGAGGCTGCCAGAAACCTTGAAAACTGCCACAAAAGAAAGCTACAATTAAGCATAAACGAAAAATAACGTCAAAGTCAGAAAGGGCGCTTTGATTTCGGTTCAGAGCATCGAAACTCTCGAAAATCCATACTGGATCAAAAAAACCAAGAATGGGAATAGCATTGCAGTTGTTTTCAAGATAAAACCATGAGAAAAATAACAAGCGCTTTTCCACTTTCTAGATTAGTTCATGATTAAGTTAGACTGAGCAGGCTCATGTTTTTTCCTGGCTTTGATAAAAGTGAAAATAACTATCTTATGCAAAAACGGCGCTTCAGTAAACTTCCAGGCAACAAGTCCGACTCGGTAAAGTCCATCATTACTGTAGCAAATAGACTTTTATATTAGTTGACATTGTATGTTCATTATCCATTTGCCTTCTATGACCATCGAATCATGTGCTCGTTAAGGGCAGGGCTTATAATGTGAGTCGAGTCTCTGAAGACGATGCTAAGTACTCCTGCTGACGGCTCATGTTCTCAGATTTATTGACCAAACCTGGTTCAAACCAGATTATATGCGCATGTGTGCGAAAGAACAGTGTCCGCGGAAGCGGCACCTATTTCAGGTATTCGTTCCCCTACCTCTGTTGATGCAAAACTCTCTGGTGTCAATGAACCTTTCCCCGCCCTCCAGCCGCCAAGCCAGTGGAATCAAAAGTGAAGTCCAAGTAGATAGCAGTTCATCACTGATAAGGTATCATCATGATGTAGTACCTACCTTCATTTACGCGTGCTGCAGTGCCTACATATTGAATTGTTTGTATCGTGAAAACATGCCTTGCAGAAATGTCTATTCGCGTCTCCACCATCGCATAGTTTGACCCTTGGAAGGGCCAGTGCATGCGGATAAGCCAATGAGATGATGGCTTAGTTGAAACGTACCCTAGCGAATGCTATGAGAACAGACTGGTGAACCGTGAAGTCGAATAAAGAGACGTATATCAGAAAATGTCCTACAAGTCGGACAAAGTCTGTATGCTGCACAAAAATGTACCATATAGGTTGCTGCCTGACGAAGGCTCAATTCGGGCCATAGATGCGATAGGTGGAGAAATTTCTCTGACTCCTCCTAAGGCCGGCATCTGGCTGACCCCTTCCACCTGAGGTTGAGACTAGAATAAAGGCATAAGGGCAGAATTAAACAATCCCGCTTCACAGGAAAACTAAGAAACAATAGACGGTCTACGTCGATTCCTCTTGCTCTTAGTTATCTAATGGTATACAATGTTGGTGCACAGAGCTTTCCCAGTCCAAAAAAGTCTTGCTCCGGCGACCCATAGAAAGCAAGAGCGGGGTGGAGCAAGTTAATATTAAATATCTCCACCTCATTTTTAAAAAGACACGAGTTTCTTTACCCAATAACCTATATACCTTTAGACAGACCACGAAACAAGGATTCGACGTAGACCGTCTCTTTTTCTCTAGCTCTCTCTACTCAGAGATACATGGCATTTTAGCTAAAAACATGCGTGTTTTTGTGGAGTTCTTATGCAAAGAGTGATTGAAAATGCCCTATTACAGAGCAAGACTTCGCCAGTAAACGTAGACTGCCTCTTTGTTTCTAGCTTTCCTCTTTCTTTCGGAAATGGAGCGACAAGTGATTGCATAAAGTCAGCTGATGCTGAAACTAATGATTTTTCATATCTGAATTTCGGGAGAGCTGAAAAAAAGACGGTCTACGTCGATTCTGTATGTTCAAAGCTTTCGAATGGTATGTCGAGATGAAACATAAAGTTTTCCTGAGTCAAAAACCGTCTTGTTGGATGACCTCTCAAAGCCTAAGCATTGAGGAAATCTTTATAGTACACCTCTGTACCACAAATTTTCCTTCTTTTCACTCCCGCTCCCGTTAGACATGTAAGCTTGCGTCAACATTTGTTTCAGGCCCAGTTACCCCCTTACATTTCTAGGTCAAAAATAGCCAAAACCCCCTTCACCTGTAGAGGGACCCTGCTCCCCCTATCGCACCTATGATTGAATGCGCGAACGCGGCTTCAGTAGCCGCAGAGCGCGTGAAGCGCAGGTTTTACAATGGTGAGGATACGCGCGCGCCGCGTTCGCGCCCGCTTAACTAAGACTGCTTCTGCGCCTTCGTCGTGCAGTAGCCTCAAAAGGATGCAACCTTGCAACCTTCTCCCCCCCCTGGCTTTGCCGGAACTAGGTTTTGCACCTCACACCACTCAGCAATTTTACGCAGAAATCTCCACAAGTTACATCTAACTTTCATCGCATAAATGCAGCAATGCTTTAGATCTCACTATGCTCCAGTAAAATCACGCTAAAGCGGAATCTTCATTCTTTTTTAGACGGAACTTGTTCCTCATTCATAATCTCAAGACCCACTCGACCTAAATGAAAGTAATGCCACAGGCCGCTAATATACCGTATTCGCTGGAGCCAATTTACGAAAAAGTACAGTAAGCAAGTCATGCTCCATTCAAGAGGGCACTGGCAATCGGAGATTGCCAAACCTTCAATAACTACTTATTTCGCTTGTGCATTAGAGAATTTGCAACACTGTAAAATCCAGGCAATCCGGAGAGGAGCCACTAGGAATGTAAAAATCAGCAAGAATATCAGGTGCTTATCCACCCTTCAAAATGAAGCACTCTTTTCTATTTGTATCACTGTCAAATAAGATATGTGGGTATGCCACCGTAAATTAATCAGGTACTTTTGTGCAACGAATGATTTTTCACGCGCGTACGGATTCCATTGCTGACAATTTTTTCTCTCCAATGACAATCGGAATTCACTTTTCTCTTTATGCAATTTTCGTTCGAATGTTACTACTCTTTTCGGAATCTATCGTCTAATTTTTATTATCGCTATAATCTAAGGAATCAGACTTTGAAAAATGAGACATCTTTCGTCAGGCTAGAGCTTCGCTACAACTTGTTATGCTTAGAAATAAGGCATTACCCTGAAATCTCACAGATAATTCCTCCCATCGGATAAGTCCGTCTACAGATAAGTCCGCCTATCCGTTTTCTTTCCATTATAATCACCTTGAAATCTTGCCAGATAAGTCCGAAGACTGTCAGATAAGTCCTCTGATGGGAGGACTTATCTGCAAGATTCTGGCGGTGCGAGGGAGCATTCTCATCAATTTGTATTGTCAGAAAATCGGACTTATCTGTAAGATTTTAGGGTACTTGGGATGATTGGCCTAGTTGCTTCGATACAAATTCTCCAAAACCATGAATTTTCGAAAAAAAAACTTCATTGTTTTTGGATAACATGATCAGGAATATGGCATGTTGTTCTCGAATACGCACAGAAGTATCCCTGCGGCGCGGAACGAAACTCGATGACCTTCCAAGCTCCAGGAATGCTGTACACTCAAAGCACTCCGTCTGCACTTTCGCAGCGGCCAGTTTCCCGCTGCTGGCCCTGCTTTGGCGATCCTCAAGCAGCTCCTCACGTCCTTCAAGTAGTTCTTTTTCTTACTGGTCAGCTGTCTAGCTTTGGGCGAAACAGATGATGCGTGTCGTGAGTGTCAACGTTTTCTTTTGAGAGGTGTCTGGTAAATCGGCACTTTTTGCTGCACTCAGACTCCCATGCCGGATTATAATCGCGGAGCCTTTCCAGCACACTTTTTCCACTTTGCATTCAGCCCTCTATTAGCTCCATTCAAACCCATTTCGAAGCCTATTAGGCGCATTTACGCTTCTGTAACTTATTTAACGCAATGACTTTGATATTTGTAAAGAAGTAGGAAGTTGTAGACCAAAGAGTGAGATGAGCGAAAGAAAAAGGATAAATCAGCCGCGATTTGGGTCGAGCGATTGAGTTGACCGTAAATGATGATCGAATGTCGACACAGTATCCGCGTAAACATATCTCGGAACTGCATTCGAAGCATCGATTCTGTTTCCACGTCGCTTATATGCAAATCTAACGCCAGCGCTATTTTCTTGTTGTTTTGGAAACGCACCGAGCTCTTAGTGAACGCTCTGTGAACTTTCGTTCGAGAGAAAGCGCAACCGTTTCGCAGCCAAATCGCAACACCGTCGCGACGTATCGCGCAGCATCGCGACTCGCTCTGCTCCCTCCGGATCGCGCCAGTGTTTTGCCTCTGAGGAGTGACCCGGCAATTCCGAGGTTTCCGTGGTACACGTGGCGATCGGCGATGCCCGTGCGCTCCTCGCCGCTCGCACTCTCTCGCCCCTCCTCCCAGTGCGCAGCCTGACCCTTTTCCTTCGTCTGCTAGGCCACCATTTGTGATTTACTCCAGTTGCTGGCCTGCTTTTGGGCTCGGGTTCGATCTGGTTCCCCGACCCCACGATATCGCTCATATCATCGTCGAAGTCCACCGAGTCGAGGGCACTGCGTCGTCTTATCGCCAAACTAACTATACGTCTGTTTACTTCCTCCACAGAGTTCAAATTGCTCAAATTGCAAATATAATCAATTTGTTTGCAAAAGATTGACAGGAAGCGATGTGTCAATAACAACGGCTGACAGATTGCGGTCTCTGTGCCTCCTCGCCTCAAACAGCACTGATCCATAAACCGTTTACACCTCTCTGTCGACAAGTTTTTTCAGCCGTTCCATCTCTCATGAGCATTATCGTAAACGTTCCATTCGTTGAAAACAATCGGATTGGTCGTATTCGCTATTTATTCGTTATTTCATGAACGATTACAAGAGATTGCGCTTCTTATATGCCTTCCGCAGATTCACAGTTGCAGCTGGCTGCCTTTTCTTGTCATCCCGTGGCTCTTTCTCAAAGTCGATAGCTGCGATGTCTATTTTTAGAATGCTTGATATGTTGCAACAAGCACCAAGAATCTTTTCTTACTTTTTTTTCCAAAATTTGAACCCAGGAAGTCATTTGAATTCGCTGGTGCTCTCTGTATCGCCCATGTTTTAGCGACTAATTGCATTTATTCGCTCGTCTCACAATTCTGGTGCAATTTTTCAGGAAGCTTGTGAGTTTTGCCATGAGGTTTGTCGTATTAGCGGCTGTCTCCGTGGCCATCGTGCTGGCCTCCCATCACAGCTCAGACCCCGATAAAGATGCTGCCCATCAAAAGGTAACAACCTGTTTTCGTTGAACTCTCTTCACGTACTTCTCAGTCGCAACGCACCAGCGCCCCGCCAGCCCGGGGGACAGTTGTCCAGTGGCGATCGGCTACTTTACAGCGTTGACGCGTTCGAAAAAGGTTGCGATATCACTGTATGGCTCACGTAACGAAGCGTTTGTATTGTCGGAGCCTGGCGAGTCACGCTGACTCACAATGCGAACAGTTTTGGTACGCGCTGGAGAAATGCGAGTAAAAGTGCAAAAACGCTACGTGGTTCCAGAGTGAACGGAATGTGTTCCGCGAAGTGCTAAAGTTGTATCGCATCGCTTCTTCTGCGCTAGGGGAATGGGTGGCAGCTCTTTTTCCCAGTAATATATCGTAATAGATTCTATTACAACAACAACACATGCGTAGCTCTGTGATGCAATAGCAACATTCCTTGGAAAATGAGAGGTTGAAAGCTTTTCAAATGGGTTAAGAAAATTCCGAGGACTAATTAATCACACTAAGTAGCCCTTAATCAATCACAGAAAAATAAACAAGATGGCTACAAAATTTGCCACTAGATCCAGTTTTGTTATATGTAGCTCATCTTACACTCACTAGTTCATCTCTCCTCTGCCACTCACACGGCTTGCTAATTTATAGCCTTAATTCTAACATACCAGGCATAAACCTTTTTTTGCACAGCTTTGAGAACACTCATACTCTAAAGGAAATAGTGGAATTTGCTCGCATGTCTTTGGTTGCTTTTTTCAATGCTCAACGAGTGCTGCTGTCTACTGATTGAGACCTTGCCCGCACTCGTAAATGCAAACGCACTGATAGCATTCTGAAACACAAAAAACGTATTATTAGCAGGTTTTTATTCTATGATTCTGCAGATTTGTGGCTGATATCACACCCCCCCCCCTTCCCTAACTTTTCAAAATGCAACTTCAAATGAAAATCAGGTGCTGATTAGTTCGCTTTGTCAGGATTTTACAATCTGTCGGTAGATGTTCGGGTTATTCAATCAGTTTTAGCCTAAAATCCTGTAGTCACCTCTCTACGCAAAACCTTGTGTTCACTCTTTAGAAGATCTTTTTCGCTCCGTTGCTCATACCATATGAAAGGAGGAAGAGAGTTCATTTTTTTTTTGTTTGGTGTGAAATGAATACAAAAAGTCCTTCATCACCCAAGCTATCTACATTACAAATTATGTCCCAACATAGTTGCACCTACATAGTCAGTGGAAAAAGGGGTCTTTTGCGTAATTTTTCACACAAACAACCAATCAAACAGCTTACACTAGTTGGAAATCTATTCAAGATTCCAATGCAACTTTGTAGGGAGGAGAACACGACAACAAATATGACCACGACCAATTTTTGGGGAAGGACACAGCCGCCGAATTTGATGAGTTGACGCCTGAAAAATCTAAAGAGAGACTCGCGTAAGTAACTATTGCTTTATGTAGGACATTATCGGAAAATCCTTCTTTTAGCAAGCTCGTCCCCAAAATGGATTCGGATGGTGATGGTTTTGTTGAGGAGAAGGAACTCAGAGAGCACATCACTTTCATGCAGAAAAGGTCTGTTAGAAAAGCTTGTTAGAGGATTTTCGGGATGGTTGAGGCCTTCTCAGATACGTCAATAACGACGTTGAGCGAACGTGGAAGAACTACAAAGATGATAAAATCAAGGATGGAAAGATCAAGTGGGAGGATTACAGGTAGGTAACGGGGTTATCGTCAAGGGTAAAGATGTGCATATACTGTTTTGCAGAGAAATGGTCTACGGTTCACCCAGCGGTGAGGGTCAAGAACTTTCTCCCGAATACGCAAAGATGATCGCTCGAGATGAGAAGAGGTAGGGGCTTTTACTGAATTTGAAGGCTTCTCGACTCCACCTTTTGCATATATCAACTCGTTTTCAGGTGGAAAGTGGCTGATTACGATTCTAACGGTGTCCTTGATCGTACCGAGTACGGATGCTTTATGCATCCTGAAGATTGCGATCACATGCGCGATGTTGTGGTTGCGGTAAGCTCCTGACCGCTTTGCTGAGACCTCAATTTTTCATTCATTCTTTATCACAAATACCTTCCTGATGGAAATAGCTATTCTTGATGTCAAAAGCATCATAATGGGTGTCTTAGATCTTAAGTAGTCTTGAGAACTTGAGCTGAGTCATAGACTAGCTTGCCTTTTTCATAATATAAGCTCATTTTCCATACCAAGACATTTGCGATACCTGTTTTAGGAGACTGTCGAAGATATCGATAAAAACAAAGACGGTTTCGTAGACCTTGAGGAGTACATCGGAGATATGTACCGACCAGAAGACTACCCCGAACTCAACGGAAAGGTGGATCAATTAGTTTTTTTCTCATTTGCATACTAGCTAGTTCAACTTTTTTTCAAGGAACCGGATTGGGTAGCATCGGAGCGCGAGATGTTCAGAGAACACCGGGACAAGGATGGAGATGGCAAGTTGAACCAGGTGGGTGGAACTTCTCTTGATATCTGTTTTACCTAAGTTCTGCGTTTCACAGGATGAGATGAGGGACTGGATCATGCCAATTGGATTTGACCATGCTGAAGCTGAGGCTCGTCACTTGGTAGGCATCGCCGACGACAACAAGGTATGCTCATAGGATCCAGGTTCTACGAACTGCCGCTTACGGTCATTTTCAGGATGGCAAACTCTCGATGGACGAGATCCTGGCTCACTACGACACATTTGTCGGTTCGCAAGCCACCGACTACGGAGAGCAACTGCAAAAGCACGATCCGTCAGAGCTGTGATCGGCCTCCGAACGCAAGACCGCCGTTGCGGCGCAACGCATCCGCATTGCCCATACTCTATGGTTACTGCCGCGATCACTCGCATAGGTGTGCGGTGGAGAGTGCCTTGCTGTTTTGAATAATTTCTGCACACACAGGTCATATCTTACTCTCCTTTCTCTCTTGCTCGCTCTCATCTGCTCGAACCCATTGGCCTCTCGACTTTCACTGGTGTTGTTTGTTGTTCATGCATTTATCGTTTTCAAACATAATAATTTGAACCAAAGGTCGCTTCTGATTCTGCAATAAATTATTCTACTTAGCTTTTCTTCAAAGCTTTACGCATTCAAACAAGGTGACCAAAAACACTCAATTGTGCAGAAAAATTGGTCCTGGCCGTGCAGGATTGTTCATTTGAATATTCAGTGGGAAAAGCTAAAAGGAAACCGTTTAGGGTTTGATACCATATAAGCATGACGTTCTGCAAACCTAATGACTGAAAACCTAATAATGACACAAAGATTGGTCTGTATGCGTCTAAAGGCTTTTTGGAACGGATCCAGAAGGAAGCCATATGGAGCAGTGTCCCAATTTTTCTGTTTTCTCTCATTCTCCGAATATGCACCAAACTCCAGACCTTGAGGCTTGTATTAGTGCGCGAGTCATTCAAAATTTCCCTTTTGGCCCAAATAGTGCCCAGAATGGTATGAAAACGGCTATAGTCTCTCTCGTTCATTCCATCTTTTCTTGCTCATTCACAGTTACCGCTCTCTTGCTGCAATCTTTTAGCAATGACTCCAACCTGGAAACATATTCGAAGGGAACTGTTTCCAAACCCTCAAGTAGTCAGCTCGCTGAGAACTTGAATTTGCTTTGCAGCCTATCATCAGTTTGGAGGGCCTTTATACAGTTCGAGATCCCACCAAGTACTGTAAATGGTGAAAGGCTCTAAACTCAAAGGTAGTGTCCGGGCAAAAAGTCGATTTTGAGATTTTGTGCTTACCCGGGCCTATTCACTATGCTGAATCCGAAAATCCACATTGGAAAGCGCGAAAACGGCAAAAAAGGGCTCTAACGCAGGAGGGAAATCGGAAGTGGGCGGATTCCTCCTCACTGTGAATTTCGCAGTCCCAGCTTCTAGAGCGATCTTCTCAACTCCGCTAACATTCTAAGATCTCCACAGGCCAGGTGCGAATGCATGACTTGAAATCGGAACCGAGAAGATCGCTCTGGAAGCTGGCGTGAATTCACAGTGGAGAGGACCCCGCCCACCTGCTGATTTCCCTCCCGTGTTAAAGCCGTTTATCGCCATTTTCGCGCTTTCCAATGTGCATTTTCGGATTCAGCGTAGCGAATAGGCTGGGGTAAGCAAAAAATCTCAAGATCGAGTTTTTGTCTGAACACTGCCTTTAAGTGGACAACGTACAATAACGAGTTCACCGATGCGGCTGAAGCTCTACTGATAATAACAAAGTTAGCGATAGTGGACATAATGCAGTTGTTGGCAGAAAATTAGGTCACATTTCATAAACTGCAGTGCCGGTCGCAGGATTTCCGTCCTGGGGCGGGGGGAGGGGACAAAAAGAAATCCGAATGGAAGTGTGTGGTGTTAGCGCACTCCGAAGTTTCGGGATACTTCTCAGATTTTTTGCGACCCTACAACTCCAAGACTTTGAATTGACTCCCCCCCCCCCCCCTTCTCGCCGCTGACTGGCTGTATCTTTGAAGCAAGCGCACTTCGCAGCAACACTCTGCACTAGATGATCTTCAAGTTGCAATTTACCTAGTAGCTCCCCCCCCCCTGCCGCTTATTGAAATCCACTCCATAGACTACTACTCAACATTTTATGGTATACGATAGTAAGTCACATCAGCAAGTTTTGAACGAGACAAGAAATGTTTAGCTGTATGACTCTATTCTCACCAAAATAAGGTATTGTGCTACCACTAATTCCCAGAACTCACTTGAGATCAACCTAAAGTCAGCAACTCTAAGTTATATACGGCACGCTACTGCAGCTAAACAAACTCAGAGATGGTTTTGTGGCACTAGATCAATGAGCGCAAATCGCACTGATTGCTTAAACGGCCTCGTTATAGAAGTGGAACAAAACCACAATGTAGTCTGCAAAAATTTATAGCAACACCAATCCTAGATATTCGGTCACATATGTTTAGAGAAGTTGCTATATAATAAAGGCAGATGGCATATTGAAATGCAGTCGAAGACCCGCGTTGACTTGAACGAAGAAGATTCATAAACTTTGCTTTGCTTACATGGAACCTTTACGAAAGTTTGCAGGTACTTCACAAAAACTCTCTGGATTGGTGGAATTGTAGCTATGGTACAAAGGCATTCGAGACTTAAAAGACATACTAGAAGCAAACTTTTGATCATCTTCATTCCGCACCGTCAATGCGCCTCTGATACACTCCGAAACATTAACACGTTTCGGACCGCGAAATCGCGCGCGGCAAAAAACAGTGCACTTTCAGCTATTAGCCAACAAAGGAACCTTATTTCGTAGACTGTGTGTTACATCTGTAATCAGCTTGTCGGATAAGTCCCAAACCCAAAGTTCTAGGTGGATTCGAAGCGTTTGAATTTTTCAATTGTGAAAGACTTCTGTGCATTCCTGAAGGATAGGAACAAGAACTCAGTTTCTAATAGTATCCAAAAGTATCTATGTTGTAGACGGTACAAATCAGTATTGAAACTACGGTTTTTCTCTTTAATATCGAAGCAAAAGAAAGTTGCGACATCACACGCGTGGTTCGCGTTGCCGCACTTCATTGCAACTGTTGTTCGAATTGTCCTCACATCTTCTAAACAAATATCACCGGCACGACTCCACAGAGTCATTTGACAAGTAGAAGCCTAGGCCTTTGACTTGATCTTGGATTAAAAGCAAACCTCTCGTAAAGTTCAAAAAGATTCTTCAAAACAGCGTGCTGCACCATGTGCAGCACCGGTCCGAAACGTGTTAAGGAGGAATCGTCGAACGAAAACTGAGCAGCGATGGCATGAGCCACGGATGGGTTTAGTGTTCGGCGCCGCTGGCACCGTCGGCAGAAGCAGCGCCACGATGCTAGCACCTGACCGCTCACTGGCAGTCTTCCGCTGTGACGGAAGAGGTGCGGATGCCCGCTGCGTTGGGGTGGGATTCGCGACGAGACCTATCTGGGAGGAGATCTCATCCACGACCACCATCACCATCGCGGCGCGTCCCACTTAACTGACGGCGTTAGCGAACATGTCGCCACTGCTATCGATTGCCATATCGATCGGAATCGCCCACGCATTCGATGTACCGTGTACACGTGAGTTTACAGTACTCCTGACTACTTGAGTACTTCCGTGGTGACCGTCTCGGGCGTAGTCTACCACAACGGCGCGCTCAGCCTACGTATTGCAGTGACCTCGGCCCACTTTACTGGTAGTAACGTGACTTTGATCTTGCTTGGCTTCCACTAGCCTTCACGATTAAAATTTTGACTGTTACCTATATGTAGTCCCTTTCTCACCTCCTAATCACCCTAATTATTTTTGTCTTACTAATAAAGTGCCTAATCGGTATTCTTTTGATCTTTGGTGGTTGATGCAGAGAACACTATCCGTTCTCAGCCATCTATGACTAATCTCCAATCAATTCCTCAAAAACAGCTTCTATGCTTTACAGTCTTGTAAGCAGGGATACAAACGTAAAGATAGGGCGAGTTGCCGTACAGAATTTGGTCTTATTCAAATTTTTCAAAGAAGCTTGCCAATTTTAGGGCAAGAATAGCTTCGCACAAAAGGCACTCTGTTACATAATGAGTTTTCGCATTTTCGTTGCATGCTCTCTGGAAATCAATTTTCCAATGTTACCTCTTCAGTCTGTGCAAAATGGAATCGCAATTGATCATACATCTACAGCCTTATGTCGGATTCTTCAATTTCAACTTTTTACATTGTTATGCAGCCACTTTTTACTCAAACGCGTACTTGAACTCATGCACTGCCTGTTATAGACTTTTTGAACTACGATACTGAATGCTGAACAGTTCTCGAAAATTCTTTTTGTCCCATGCTTTTGCTAATTGTCAGCAGATGAATTGTGGAGACTGGTTGGTCTTTAGTACCCAAATTCTCGCGAGCTTTCTAGCGCTAGTGCAGTGAAAAGCTATGGAGACTGGTTGGTCTTTAGTACCCAAATTCTCGCGAGCTTTCTAGCGCTAGTGCAGTGAAAAGCTATGAAGGGAATTTTTTTTTACGATATAGTTGTAGGCAGAGCAAACATCTGCCTTGACGTTAATTTGAAATTCTGGAAAGCAGTCCAGCAATATTAATCTTTAACGTAACGTATTAGGCTGGAAAGATAACGATGTCGTTCTACGTTATCGTGCATGTGAACACCAAAAAGCGCGTGAGGGGCACTGCTGTGTTAAGCAGCCTTTCTTTTTTTTTTCTATGGTCAGAAATCAGGAATTACGTAGCCGAATTTGGTAGATGCAATTGTGCTTGTCTTCATTTATAATTGTATCAGGATTCTTAGTAAGTACAATCCTTAAATTATACCTTTGTAACTCCGCAATTATGCAGGTAAGCTTCTCTTTCCATCAGCAAGAGTTGGTCGAATGAAACATTTATACGACTTCTCGAAGGGAGTTTCATGGTAAACACGTGTTTCTCGTTGCGGATTTGAATTTTTGTTAGACTTTCATTTTCTTATAGCTATCTTGTAGATTGCTTTGAAGTATAGTGCCCTTGGACATTAATACTTATATGATATTTGGCTTAAGTACTATGGGATTTGGATGAAAATTGTATGCAAGAAGTTCGTAATAGGGCGATCGCTAATAAACTATTTCTGATGGAGAATTTTCACTGGCTTTATTGACGGTTGACTTTTCGCACAATTTTGTCAACATGTCTTTTATGCACGACTATGGTAGAAAGAATCAAAGTCCTGCACTAAATTCTGCATATGTAGACTTCGGGGCGAGGCTAGTCACATATTTTTGCTGAATTTTTATTGATTAGATTCATCGATTTACAGGTTTTTTCTCGCATTTTACGATCTAAAGGGCTCAATGCAGAGTGGAATATGTGGATGAGTACGAATAGAATATCTAGAATATCTACCACTTTCCTTACCGATATTATCAATTTTTTATATACAGTGAATTCCAAATTTGGGGTCTGGGGATAAGTTTATGTGTTGAGCATCATTTATTATCAAGAGGATTAGTCTATCGCTTTGGTCCGTTCACAGATTTGATATGGAAATCAGAGTTTGATTCTCGTAAACTTCGATGGCTTTTTCTCAGTACATAACACTTAATATAATTCAATAAATAACATTTAATACATGTTCAGATAACTTCTTCCTAGGTGTTGTTCTTTCTCAAAAGTAATAATTTGCAGTATTTTCAATCACAAAAAAACCATTTATAATGTTGTTGCTCTAAAGTTCAAATCTTCAGTTGTTGAACAGTTCTCTGCGTATTACGAACGGACATCGAAAACGGATAGTTGTTTCAGAGAAACTGATTGGCAATAAATGTTTGTTTGACGAGGAATGTTACGGTATGAATACAGTTTGTCGAAATGGTCGTTGCACATGCCCTACAAATTTCGAGGAGTTTGACATCGACGAAAGGACAACAATATGCCGTCTTGGTTAGCTCCTTAAAAATAAAAGTATTGTTCTTCGGTCTCTCAGAGATTATTTCCGTGCTTCATCCGCAGCATTTAATTTTTATGAATTGCTCTCGATTCAGCACCATCAAAAATCGGAGACACCTGTCAGCGTGATTGTAAGCCACCGCTTCTGTGCCGTGATGGTCGATGCGAATGCTGGGGAGGAAGTATTGTCGACGGGGAATGCGTAGTGCGTGAGTTGCGCTGGCTGCGAAGCATGCAGATTACACCTGAATTTTGAATTTCGCGGCTCAGAATGCTACGAATTTGGATGAGGTTCTACTTTTGACAATGTGGATTTCAGCTTGTCCCGCAGGGCAACAGCTTTACGGCGTCGAATGCACGAGAGTAGCCCACTACAGTCAAGTTTGCGAGAAAGACAGTCAGTGTGTGGATCCCTTCAATGCGTGCGTCGCTGGGACCTGTCAATGTGCACCAGGAACCACGAGAGATGTGATGAGAGGATTTTGCTATGCAGGTTGGGCTAATTTTGTGACCTGTTTTTTCCCGTCTGTCTTAACCTATGCGCTCCAGGGCTCGGCACGAGCTGGCACCAGGGAAATTTGAAAGCGAAGCCCCTTTGACCTGTTTTTCATTTTTTGGGGCGCGCTTTGTGATTGAAGCAGATTTGTCGACTGCGGAGCAGACCGAGAAATTTTTAGATGGCTATAAAGCGCTGAAAAGAAAACATTATGAAATCTTTTTTTGCATGTAAACTTGTACATTGTAGATACAAATTATGCAAAAAAGTACGAAAACTTGTGTGAGCAAAGGGTCGGTGCCAGCTCGTACCAGCTAATTCAGAAAAGAAGTTCAGCACAGCTTTCATTCACATAAATTTCCATAAGTACTTTGACCATAGTTCAGGTCTCCCAACGCGCATGCACGCACCAAATTTGGTGACATATGACTGCGTTTTGTTTGTAAACAAGACTTTTGCTTGTTTGGGGCAGAATTCGAATTCCAGCGCTGTGTTAGCACCGGCACGTCGGCGACATACCGACGGCATGCCGTTGGCATGCGAGTGGCATACTGGCGGCATGCTCATGAAAATAGGTATAAAGAGTAAGCATGTCGCCGGCATGCCAGCATGTCGTGGCATTCTAGCAAACATCGGCATCCAACCCAAAAAGATATCCCCTTTGCTTTCCGCCCCAATATCCACCTTGACCCGATGCCAGCTGTGCCGAGTCCTGATGCGCTTCTTTTGTTAGCATTTCTGAAAAACAGATAGACATGGAAATTAGTGCATTGAAAAAATGCGAAACGTTCTGCCTGTTATCTTCCCTCTCATTTTCTTGATAGAAGTATTTATCCTTCACTGTTCTCAAATTCAAGTTTAACTTGGTCATTTATCCAAACCTCTATCGGTAGAAGTTATCGCTGAGAAAAGATTTTCGATGAGCAATCAGCATCACGAAATCATTATTTGATAAGTTTTGGTATTTAATTAGTGCCGTGACATTTTGTGTTTCTAAAGTAATAGGCAAATCCAGCGAAGAGCATTCACGTGGAAGTATTTACACCTTCCATATTCTTTTATTCGAAGATTCATTCCTAGCCAACCCACATGGAATACTACAGCGCTTTACAAAGTAGCAAATCATAGCAGAGTGTTTACGTGAAATCTGAATAAGCTCGAAAACAGGACGTAGCCATCGTTGGCAGATTGATGTAAAGCTATGCCAAAGTTACGTTTCTATCTATATGTAGTATAATGCATATTACACCTGACAGTGCAAAAACTTTTGAGGGAACTAAACCCACAGTCACTATCAGACAGAAAACGAAATTAGGGCTGCCTTTTCCTCTAATTCTTTCTTGTGAATGGGACTCATTTACAGTTTCAACAACGCTGATTTGAAAGGGATGAGGCGAATGTTCTTCATGCAGGCTGCTTAGTTTCGAGGAAGACTCTAGATAGATATCAATGGCAAGGGATGGCTTTTGATTCTGTGCTGTATTTGGAATAGAAAACTGATAGGAATTCCTTTCATCCATTTCTGTCCCGCTCTGGAGCGGAAGGAGTATTTCCGGTTGAGAAAAATGAGTTATAGAAATCTTTTTTTGCTCGGTTATCATCTGAATGCCTGTTTGGTTTGCTCTTTAAAGAGACTTTTTTTTCTGGGAATGCAAAATTCATTCAATCATAATTGTGAATATCGCGGATATGAGAAATGGATGAAATGTAATAGTGAAATCTTTTTTTTTTTCTCAACACACAGCTGCACGTAATCTGGGCATCTTCTTCCATAGTGGAAGCGACAAAACTATAACATGGCGAGTAGAACTGGATGAGTACAAACTTATCATTCAGCTTCGCTGCGAGAAAAGAATGAGGAAACCGCAGAACCATGTTTTGTTTCCAGTACGATAAATACCGCTAACTCTGGACAATACCGTATCCTTACAGTATGTCCTGACGGAATGCATCCTCGTCAAACATGCCGTCGCTTGTTCGTCAACGACGTCGACATGCTCGAGAACGCTGCCAATACCGACAGCTGTCCGCTCGGATACAGATGCGTCACATATGGTAGCCCCTACGTGGGCCACTGCTGTCGACTTCGTTGCCCATATGGGGAACCCGACCTTAGGTCATGACAAAGCTAGTTCTTCCTTGAAACTCCCCATCATCTTACATTCTTACAGTCAATCTTGCGACGCAGGATCATCACCGGAGTCAAAATGTCGTCCTCTCACCCATTTCTGTTATTCAATCACCGAGCCAGGGCGGGTAATTTTTTCTAGTGAAAGTTCATGGCGTACCAAAACTGATCTTTATGGGTCGTATGAGTTGCCGTACAACTTGAAATTTCATTGAGTAGTTATAGGTGGAAATCGTCTCTCTGCTGTCCACGTCCATGTCGCGACCCTACCCCGCTCTACATCAATGGACAGTGTTTATCGATAGCACATAGAGACGATCCTTGCCAAATTGACCAACAGGTTCAATCAAAAACCCTGTAATGAGACTCCAAGATCTGTAGCACATAAAAATGTATTTTGCAGTGCGAAGGGGGTATTTCCATGTCGTGCACACTTGGCACATGCCAGTGCAAATTGGGCTTCCATCCGGTCAGTCCAGAAATTCTGTCTTCAGGTATTCATTTAATCACTCACATCTGGTTAATAGCAGTCTTTTTAGTACAACGATGACCGGTTTCCTACCTGTGAGAAAAGTTGCAACCAGTTGGATGAGATTCCTTCTTCGGACCGGTGTCTGCAGAAAGCACAGCTCGGTCAGCGATGTTTGTCGAAGAAGCAGTGCCCCGGATTCTCCGATTGCAGATTCGGAACCTGCCAGTGCTTGTGTGGATACAAGCAAGTTCGGGTAATATGACTTGGCGAGGTCAAAAAGGCTGATACCAGAAAAGCCTTATTTTCAGGATAACATCCTAGGTACAAGATGCACAAATCCAGACGACCCCCTCAGTTTGAATACGATACTCACGGGCGTCGAGCAGCTTTTCGGCAATAAAAGGACTAATCGACACTAGCGGTCCTTAAAAATACGAACATCATTTCTCATCGTTGTAATCTCATTTCCGAGTACTAATTGGCTAGAGCCCAATTTTCTTGTTTCAAGCCTCCTCAACGAAATGTCTCTTCGAACGATCGCTGCATTTCGACCGTCGGGTTGTCAGTATATATCTGAATGTCTTGTGCTATTCTAGGTGAGTGAGCTGTGATAGCTAAGACAACGTGTTTGATTGGTTTTACACATGTAAATAGAATTTATTTCGTAATTTTCTGTGATCAACTTGCAAGTGTAGAGATGAAAACTATTCGTCATAATTATTCGATCGGTTCGATCCCAAGACGTCGCCATTTGATCCAACTTAGCCGAGCAATGAGATCTGAAAAAGAACTCCGTACTGAGATAATGATGCAATTACTTCAAGGTTTTATTCAGAAAAAGTTGCGGGATTGAGAATCAAGATCACTCGAAAAATTTGAATATAAAATAAGAAGAATCGGAAGTTTTTGCGAACAAATATGAGCATCTTTGAAGCTGTTCAGATGAAATATCCAATCAGAGAGAACAAAAATCATCTACGGTGAGACAGATCATATTGGAAGTAAAAAGACAACGTACACAGTGGAACGCCATTCTGGGTAGCTCACCAGAGACCACACATTAGTACATCAGAATACCGGAGGTTATTTCGAAATGAGCATTTACGAGGGGAGGGGGCTGCCAGAGAGGGAGAAGAAATGATAAAAGCAAATTATTTGTCAACCATCAAATGAAGATGGATCCTTTAAAAATTCATGGAATATGTTGACTACTTTCAAAATTCGCGACCCATGGAGGGGGCGCAGTGGGAAGTTGCTAAAATCAGCACAATAGAGCATACAAACTGATAACGTACATGTCTCATGTGTTCTGTTCGTGTTTTCTGCTCCTCTTTCATGTTATTGCCTCTGATTTCTCTGTCGCTGCGATGCAAATTCTGAAGGTGGGGAGGGGGGAAAGGGCAACAAAAACTTTCTCCAAATAAAGAGGCAATGAAAACTATTTTGGGAATAAAAGTTAGAGTATCAAGTAAGGGGATACTCTACATTGGTCCAGGAAGAAATGGCGGCGTTACAGGAGAAATTAAAGACTTGCCATGTCCGCAGGAGATAAACGTGAGCGTGAGCACCGCGGAGAGGATCTGACAATGATCCAAAACTATTTTTGCAAATAAACGGAGAAAACCTCAACAAAACAAATTCCCATAACTTTGCTTGAGGGAGTGCCTGAGAAATAATAGAGGCATATCTGAAATTTACTTTCCAAGGGTTCTACTAATAACATAGATGAACTGAAAATTGAGTTTCGAAAACTCTAACTTCTGGAAACTCGCTAGAGGAGTAGAAATTGAAGTAATTCTGATAGTCTCAGAAATGTTGAGATTGATCTGTCGGCTAAGAGAAGCCCTAACAAGGAGCGACTATCAACTGTTTTTCAAATTGTGCTTCAACAAGAATTGCTGAGATACCATGAACTGAGATGGTACTCAATGGTTTTGCATCGATGTAAACTTTAATTTTAGGTTCCGAATTTATCAAAATTTGCAAGCGATGCGCTCAAGGTTTTGAAATTCCTCAAAGTTTGGAATTACAGACAGTTCTTTATTGCGGAATCAGACGGTTTCGGCTATTCTATACTCACTTGTTGATAAAATTGGTTCTCCGACATTTAAAACTCTTGAGCGAAATCTTACCTGAACGCGAAGTGTTCTTTCTAGGTGACTTTTCTGTCAAGCTTTGTAGGAAACTGGATATTTTGACTGAAAACCAATGATCTACTTCCATTTCTCCACTGAATAGATGCGCCATGAAACGCACTCAAAACTGCCTCACTTATTTCTTGAACAACTCCCCAAGCAAAGTTTCTCAGAGTTTTCTACAGTTTGCTGAATAGTTCAGGATCATTACCAGTCCTCTCCGCGGTGCTCGCGCTCTTAACTATCTCCTGCGGATACAGAAGGCAAGGCTTTTGGTTAGTTCTGCGCGCTCCTCCGAAAGAATTGAAACCGACTTGGAGAATGATTTTTCACCGTTTTGAATTTGGACTCAAAGAAGTTGATTCTGTCTTCTGAAATTGAAACGAGTCATGCACAATTTAACTCTTGTGCACGAGCCACACTCAAAATATCTGTGGACTTGGAGGAAGCGTACGTCCCTCCTACCCTTCCCCTCTCGTGATCCTTCTGTGCTTGTGACACGGCAATAGATAATGTAGAACAATGCCCTAGAACTAGTGAGAAAAACGTAGAGGATCTTGCAATAGAAAAAATGGAATAGCATGAATAATGTAACATCAACTGACGATGCGAGAATTTTTGCCGGAACTTTTTTACGAATGCATTGGGATCTGAAGTAAATTCAAAAATTAAATTTCGCTCGCTTCTTAAAACCATGTATCCTATCGGACAAGAGGGTGTTCTGTTATCGTCATCACCTAAAATGAAATTAATAATGCTGCAAGTGCTTGTCCTTGTAGCCGCACAAGTTCTCAGCATATGCGGAGCGCTTGTCTGCTATGAATGAACTTTTTTCTTTTTCTTACCTATGAAACTTGAAAGAAAGCCCTGCTTGAGAGCGAGACTATCGCATAATTCGTGGCTTTGCTTTGCACGGATTTATTTAGAACTTGGTTATGATAATCTACTTCTTATGTGCAGTGTGTTTCTCTGAGTACGATTAAGATCTAGTTTCAAATCCAGAATTGTGCGGTTCCCATGGTAAGTAAAGCAATGGGAAGCTCTTGGAGTGCACTTTCGAACAGTCTTTGCGATGACGAACCTTACTACACGGACAGATCTATGGTAACAAAGCTGAGATAAGGCAGAGATTAAAAGCGAAGAAGTGTAAAGATGGTGGGAAACAACATGTATGAATGAAAACTGCTATTCGAGCTTTCGAGTGAAGTACGATTACGCGGTTTTAGCTGGATCTACAAGACCTCAATCTGAGCCTACTTTTTGATTAGATGTGAACATTCGAATGTTCTTGTATATCAAATGAAAATATAGGCATATGAGTGAATACATTCAGCAACTATAAAATAAACTTAAGAATCCAAGCTTCTTTGAAGGCTAAGTACAGTAATGGAAATAGTCTCACCACTCGTACTCCAAGATGGCGCATTTGGATGACTGTTTCTTGACATAGCAACACATCGACGAATGTATCTGTGAGGGTCCATTGGTGACCTGAAAGTTGTGAAGCTTTGAAAGTTCTGTGAAAGGCAGTCATGCAGTAGCAAGTCGCTGTCGCATACCTCAGCACATCTTCCAGCATATTTATATAGGCAATCGCTAAATTCAAGGTGTCAATCTTTGACAAGCGCTTCTCGAATGGGAATGTTGGGATGTAATTGCGAAGCTCCTGAAATGACACAATAGGAACAGAAAAAAGCAAAAAAGAGGAAAATTTCAGCGAAACTTCGCCTTAATGTCTATCTTCCTGTTCAATATCTTTAATATAGGCATATAACTGTTTGTGAGTACTTTCTTTTCCTTAACATCCTTGACTTTTTTCTCTTCACCTTCTTTTTTCTTGGAAAATAAGCTTTTTTTCACTTTTCATTTACTAACTATTACGTAATCATCATCCAAGCACCTACGATGAAAGCCACATTGATGCTGCACATCCTCTTTCTCTCACGAACGTTAGCAGCTCTTCGATCGCCTTCCTCCTCGACAAATTCGTAAAAGCCATCAGAAGGCATCACATTTTGTTCGCAGAAATACTAAATCAACGTTATATGCAGTCTTGAAATTCTGAAAACCAGATCTCAACTTAATTGACTGGTCAAGCTTTGGTAATGCTTAAATAAAACCACCTACCGTATGCTGCGGCTGCATGTCCATGAGTGGCGATGACAGCTATGCCGCTTATAGAAGAGCGTCGAGTGTTTATCAGGAGCTCATTGCCGAAAGCATTGAAGCGAATAATCATAAGAACCATGACACCCGCAGCGCAACTGAGGAGAGCTCTTCTTTTGAAATGTCCTCTTTTCGCCAGCTTTATAAAAAAGCAATTGCGCTATCGGATAAGAGAATAGCACGTATTTCCCTCAGTCAATGTACGTCAGCACGGAGATCACCTATCACTCCTCCAGTATAGCACATCCTGGCAAATCGTGTCTCAAACAAGTTGTCCGTAAAACGTGGGATAGGTTTCTTCTTCAGTGACTTTGGAAAGCTTTCGCTATCCATCAAGCATAACAAAGAGCTGGCTACAACTCAAAGTTCAGTATGAAATAGGTTCACCTATCTCCTGTTAGTCCCGTAAACGATACGAAATCTCAGCACTATTCCTGCAAATTAGCTTCCGTTTAAAAAAAACTAACCAAATCAGTGAAGCATTGGGGTTCCTAAATTCGCTGATGATAGCAAACAACTTTTGCAGCTGTGTATTTTAGATGGAATGGTCACATTCTAATTGTTATGAGATATAACATCTATACATATGTAAAACTCAAAGTTTGTCTGTAAGTTGCTAAAGATGTTTGTGTTTTATACAAATCTTTTTGAGTGGGCCGATTGAGCTGAGTTTTGCTCCCATACAAATAAGCCACGGCGCGGAACATAGGCTACTTTTCATGATTCACTGGGTCCTTCTACCGATTTATCGATTTATTTACGTAAATCTAGGAAATGAAGAGCTTATAAAATCATTTGTATGAGTGAGAATGAACTGTAGCGGTATGTTCTATTTTGAGTTCTTGCATGCAAAGCGCAGTGGCAGGAAGTGCACCTCAAGTAGGTTCCCTTCTACGTTCAAAAGTGAAGTATGCGCTTACGATGGAGTGTGTAGGATCCTTCCGCAACATTATAGGCGCCAACTCTCAATGTCATTTCTATTTCAGCATGTACAGGGGCTTATCAAGTGCAGTGTGAGCGCACCAGCTCTCCGCTTCCGCGCGGCCGCCTCGCCTGGACTCTGCGCCTTTTTCGCGAACATGCTCTGTGATAAATTTTCCTCTGCGAGCATGGGAAAGGTGGAGCCTCAGTCATAGTCACTTCTTTCGCAAACATGTTTGCACTTCATCCGCGAACATGCTCTCTACAAATGATTAGAGAGCATGTTCGCGGATTAAGTGCAAACATGTTTGCGAAAGAAGTGCAGAGTCCTGCGCGGGAGCGGAGATGCTGATGCACCCGACACTGCAATTGATAAGCTTTGTATGTAACAGGCATCACAGGCATGTTCGAATGATGGCTAAATGTTTTTTGCCGCTATTTCCTCTGCTCGCGGAGACACGTTACAGGCACTTAACTTACAGATAATTCAAGATACTTGAGTTTTGTATAATCTTGCGTTTTGCTATCCGATTCCTTCGAGGATTTTCCCCTCCCCCCCCCCCCCCTTCCCTCAACTCCTTTTCACCCAGAAGCTTTAATGAAATTTTTTGAGGTGCTGATCTTTTATCGCATTCTCACACTCTTCAGATCTGAATTCAAAAGTTGCCTCCAAATCTGCTGTATTCAAATATTCAGCCAGATCACGATTGAGACAGACTCAGCCTGCCAGTTCTCCATTCTGCAAAGATTCTCGGATGCTCTCAAACTTTTGTGGTTGAAGCCCCCGTTAAAATTCGAACTGATATTCTTGAAAACATTTAGCCAACATTCGAAGTACCAAATCTAGAGTTTTTAAAATTCAACCACTTTCTCTTTCTCACAAAGTATCCTTTCTTAGAAGCTTCACAATTCCTCTTCCACTTTAAGAAATTTACTGTCAGAACTCTCGTTCGCGTTTTATAAGGTTTTTCCAAACTGTCCAGCATCTCTGCAATTCATCCATAGGTGCTCCAAAATCACTCAATTTTCAGATTGCCGTGTTGTTAGCAAAAGCTACTGATTCAAATTTTTGAAAGATCCTACTCAAAGGTTCTTATGCTTTTAGCTGCTCACTTAGGCAGATCTCGTTCCTTATAGAATTTTGAAGTTGTGCAATATTTTTACAAAGCTGCGTTGAAGATTAGCAAAGCTTTGGTTTTTGTGAAGCCAACTTGCATGCCATCTTGTCTCTTATTCGTAGCTGAGGTACTAACGGCAGATTCATACGGCATCCATTCCTAACAAAATCAATCACGATCACATTGACATTCCTCTACATTACTTTTCGAATTTTTGATGTTTGAAAGAAAACTAGCGAATTTAAAAGTGTTTCTTTAGAGTCTACATTTCCCCAGCTAAGGAAGGTTTTTGCAGCTAGGTTTTATGGACATTTCAAGACATGACCGCGCTGCGTTCGTTTGGAAAGATAGTGTTTCATACAATTGTTGGCAACTATTTAAAACGTTTACACAGTACTGAGATGTCAACTCGATAAAGTCAAAGATCTTCAAATTTATCAAATTTGACAAACATCTTTGCATGTGAATTGAGAAGAAACAGTCTAGAAATGCCTGTGGTGTAGGCATTTCAAAAGAAGGGCTCATTCAAAAAAAAATCGTAGACAGACATTTCCGAGGTAAAATTTGCGAAAAATTTCCAAAAACAGATTTAGCAGTTTGTCTGAGATAAAAACATTTACTAAGCACTTTATGGAAAATGTAAGTTTCAACTTTCTTGCTGAGAAATGTTAGCAGAAAAATTAGAAGGACAGAACAATTAGAGATTTGGCGTAACTGTTTTACGGTGAGGAAACCTACTAAGCACTCGAGATAAGAAATATAAAGACTGCAGTATTCTACTGAACTTACTTTTTGAAAAACTTATGCTGCACTCCAAATTAAACGCTCCATAGTAGAGACAGAGAAGCGCGATGTCAAAAGAGAGACAAAATAGATCTTCTACTACAAATTCGGCCCCACTTGTTGCGACTGGAAGAATGCTAATCATTCGATGGAAATCCTTGAAAAGTTCGTGCTTAAACCAAAAGTTAAAAAATAAACTTTTCAGAAACTTTCGATGAAATTTTCTGTGGGACCTTAAAGGCACCGTCCACCCAGATTTTCGACTTCACGTTTTCGTCGTTTCAGAACCTTCTCATATTCCTGATACCGAATATGAAGTCGAGAGTGCTCGAAAACCCCGACAATCCCCATTTCGGAGAACCGACAGGCCGGCTTTCCGGAACGGTGATTGGATAGGCGTACACAAATGGGCGGGCATGGACGGGGTCCTCGCGCATCTTCGCTATTCCCGAGCGACTTTCTCGCTTCCGAAGCTGCGTTTTGCGCCGCGATTTGAGCATTGGATTGATAGAGGACCCTACCATTATATGCTGCCAAAAGCTCAACACCCTCAACTTAAGGATGACGGTGTCGTAGCCGACGCTACCGTAAGTTTCTGTTTCCATTTCTCCTCGGCCGGAGTGTCGTAGCCGACGCTACCGTAACCGTTGTTCGATGATCTTGTACTGTCGTTTTGTACGATTCCGCGAACCCCGTTCGCAAAACAGTGTTTTTGTCTTGGTTGCGATTGCATTCAACAAAGGAAGCTGCCAGCTGGCAGCCTTCCGAAACTTACAGCTTTGGCTCCTCCCTTTTGTAGAGTGAGTTGTGGTTGAGTTGTAAGCCGGAGAACCCGGCTTTTCTCTCTAGTGTTCGTTGAAGTGTTTGTGCAGTTTTGCCGGAGAACCCAGCTCGGAAATAAAGAATTAATCCATCCGTGTTTAACAGAAGCACGATAAAACAAAAATCCACTGAACCCCAGCACAGACGGTGCCTTTAAAGATTTTGGAACAAATTCAATATTTGCGAATAACACTGATCATCCTAATAAGGTGCTTCTTGCAAGATTGTGGAACAAAGGACAAAAATAAATATCTTGGAATGTGTAGATTTTTGTTCAGAAAACCTTGCATTTAGATTTCCAATCATTCTAATGATGTTGGAGGAATGTAAAGGTTTGAGTCAAGTTGTAAACTAACCCGTTCCAATTCAATGGAAGTCGTGTTGATAAGTGTGGAAGCGATAGGAACTATACGAGAATTAGCTTTATTGATTGCGCTTTTTGGGTTATGCCACTTGATCAACATCGTCTAAGACAGGCATCACTACCATTGTGAGTCATCTACTCGGTATGCTTACACCGGCACAAAACGACATACATGTTTACAGCTCTGGCGCGACTGACGACGTCAGATGGGGGTGCTTCCGCTTTATATAAAGTACAAGACCAAAGCGCCGCTTCGCGGCGCTTTGGACTGGCTGTGTGTGTGAAGTGGGTTGTGGCTGAAAATTACAACTTTCAAAAATTTGTAGCGAAAAGTATGGCACAGATCTGAAACGTAACAACCCCAGAAGTTACCAAATTCGTGAATCTTTCCTGCTCTCGAATTTTGAGGATTTTCTTGTCAAAAGTGGCAACATAATTATGATGCTCCCTCCAAGTTTTTGCTAGCCCGCTGCTCTCTTTGCTTCACACGTACTCGTTGTATAGCGTTGCTACCCGGGCACTTGGAGAATCGCCCCCCCCCCCACACTCAACTGCTTCTCACCCAGAAGCAATTGCCTGTTCCATACCCGACAAAGTTTTTCAGCCACGTGCAGTCTTCCCATCCGGGTCCCTGCTTCCACACTGAGTGACTTCCCAAGCTGCCTTAGAACCCTCCCCTCACCCCTCCCCAAAAGTTCTTGCTCAAAGTGCTCTTATCTCTTTCCAAAATTGAAATAGCGAGAAAATTCGAATTAACTTCCTTCAAACACTCCCTCTTACTTTTCACAGTCTTTTTGGAAGCGTCACAATCCCTCACTTCAAAAATTTTTATGACAAATCTCTCGATCACGTTTCATAAGGGCTTTTAAACTGTCTAGCATCCTTGCAATCCTTCATTCATAGGTGCTCCGAAATCCATCAATTTTCAGGTTATCTTGTTGTTAGGAAGCTACTGATTCAAATTCTTGAGAGGACCTACTCAAAAGTGTTATCTTTAGCTGCTCACCTAAAATCTCCGCTCTTATACACTTCTGAGGTTATCACTTTTGCAGAGCATATGACGCCTAGAAAGTTGTGATTCTAGCTAGATTGTTTAGAGCTTCTAGGAGAAATTTTTTAGCAGAAAATTTTTTATACAACAATTGTAGGAAAAATACAAAGTCAGTACAAAAACATGTAAGATTTTTGAAGCGCGCGAATTTTTTTTTGCCATTTGAGGCTCGCAATGATATGAAGTCTAAAATGCACTTTTGAAGCGTTTTGAGTAGAATGGATGATGTTTGTAAATACCTTCTGAATGGCATGTTACAGTTTCACAGATGCTAAACATCTGATTCAAGAATTTGTATCAATCACTGATTCTTGCACAGAGTCAACAATGTTTTCTGGGGAAATTCAGGTCGCGCTGTCCAAAGTGTTGCAAGATCAAAACTGTGCCCAAATTACTGCTAAAAACACAGAATAAAGTTGCTTTCGAGAGTAAAACAGCATCGACATTTGTGAGAAGTAAAGCACTTCAATTTCGAACGACTGCAATGTTCTGCTGAAATATCTGACAATTTTTTTGAATGACATAAACATTTCAAACGAAGTGCTCATTCAAAATAAATCATAGGCAGATTGTCCGAGGAAAGTAGAAGTATCTGCGAGGAATTTCCAGAAACAGATCTAGTGCAGTTTGTCTGTGGTAAAAACATTTGCTAAGTATTTCATGAAAGAATCCGAAAAATTCAAACCCACCTGCTGAGATATGTTAGCAGAAAAATTAGAAGGCAGGATAAATCCATCGGAAAAGATTTGGTTCAACTGTTTTGGGGTGAGGAAACACATCACGCACTCGAGAAATGAATACCGGGGCCGTACTATATTGCTGAAATATTTGATATTTTGAAAACTTATGGTGCACTCCCAATTAGACGCTCCAGAGTAGAAATGAAGAATCTTGAGATTTCAAAAAACAAAATAAATCTTCTAACAACGATTTCAGCTGCACTTGTTAGAACAGAGGAATGGTATAATCATATGTTGGAGGTCTTGAAAGAGGTCGTGCTCAAATCAAAGGATTGAAAACATTTTTTCTAAAAACGGATTCGATGCAGTTTTCTGTGCGAACTTATCAATTTCAAACAAACTGATTACTCTTGAATCATTCCAGTAGGGTGCTTCTTCCAAGTTTATTGAGGAAAGAAAGAATTTGCAATTTTTGTACAGTGCTGGCCATAGCTATAAAGCCACCCTAAACATCACTGTAATTTGCTCTCTCTTGCCCAAAATTGTCTAGAAAACCACTATTCTGTGTGCAAACTAACGTCATATCATTGACCAGAACGGCTCCCGATTTCATTGATTTTGGCCGGAGAAAAATTGAAAAATTTGAAAAAAGGATTTCTCGAGGCTGGTCACAGCTATAAAGCCACCTCTCATTTCCAATCAGTACTACGTTTTTTGAGGCTGAAATTTCTTGTACATATACAATATCAAAATATAAAACATTTACCACACTTGGAAGCAGTCGCCTGTTCAGAAAGAAGATGCTTCGTGCATTTTCTGCTTCAAAATGTATAAAAAGTCATAATGTTTGGAAATATTGCCTTTTCACTGAATTTTCAAGCATTTGTTTGACTCGAATGAAGGTCCTAGGCTTCGCCGAGCCTTTGCAATGAATATGGTGAAGAGCGCAGTAGTCAACATGGCGTAGTCGCTGATATTGATAAACGAGCCCTAACCTCACCTCCAGGTAGACGAGTTTTCGAACCGCAGAAATTGAGTTCTAATGCCCGAAAAGCTCTGTCACGTGCCCACCACGTCGCCTGTACAACGATAAACTCGTGCGCACAGCTTGAACATCATCGCAACTCTCAGGATTTTGGTTTCGCCTTAAACGCTTTTTTTCCGAAAATGAGTGGTGCACTCTGCCTGATCGTGACGCACTCTGACCTCTCAATCGAGCGGAAAACCGCTCAAAACTCCAAAATTCTAGTATTCCTGACAGTTTTGTAAGTTTTGACTTGAAGAGGAGTTCAGAGCAGTGAAATTTGAAGTCATGTGAAATACACTGCGCACCACCGAACTGCAGGCAAAGCGTTCTAAGTTCAATGCTGCAATTACGTCTTTGTAAAAAGTCTGACAGCTTCTGCATGAGTAGGCCACCATGCAAACTAGGTGTCAACTTCCAACCAAAAATTTTCGCGTTTAAGAAATCGAGATTCGCGTACCAGAAGTGCGTTTACACCTAGGTAAGGATGAGCTTCGTTCATCAATACCAGCGACTACGCCATGTTGACTCCTGCGCTTTTCACCATACTCATTGCAAAGGCTCGGCAAAGCCTAAGACCCTCATTCGAGTCAAACAAATGCTTGAGAATTCGGTGAAAAGGCAGTTTTTCCAAACATTATAACTTTTTATACATTTTGAAGCAGAAAATGCACGATGAATCAACAGGCGACTGCTTCCAAGTGTGGTAAATGCTTTATATTTTGATATTGTATATGTAAAAGAAATTTCAGCCTCAAAAAACGTAGTACTGATTGGAAATAAGAGGTGGCTTTATAGCTGTGACCAGCCTCGAGAGCCCCTTTTTTCAAATTTTTCAATTTTTCTCCGGCCAAAATCAATGAAATCGGGAGCCGTTCTGGTCAATGATATGTCGTTAGTTTGCACGCAGAATAGTGGTTTTTCAGACAATTTCGAACAAGAGAGAGCAAATCACAGTGATTTTTAGAGTGGCTTTATAGCTATGGCCAGCACTGTAGTAATGTTGAAGGAATATGGATAAGAAAAATTGTAAACTGCCCGTTCCAATTCAATGGAATTCCGGTCGCTCTTGTAAAACGATCCGAACTATACGAAAGGGTTAGCTTCTAGTGATTGTAATTTTTTGGTTATGCCACTAGATCAACATCGTCTGGGTTCGCTTGCACCGGCACAGAACGACGGTCGGATGTTACACCTCTGGCGCGAGCGATGACGTCAGATGGGGGTGCTTGCGCTTTATATATAGTATGATGATCTCAGTCTAACCCGGTTCAAGCCGAAAGGATAGCTTACCATAGAGGTGTTGAATATGCGTTGTGCTTGAATTCTTTGCTGTGAAAATGTGAAAATTACTCGAAGTTCATCCGTGTTTCCTATTTTTAGGTTTCGAGAAACACTGATTTCATTTTGTAGTAGGTTTTAGTGCTGAACAAGCCTTTGAACTTGTGCAGCGTTAGACTTGTGCACGCGAAAACCCTTGAATCTGTTTATGTAACCTTGCACCTTGCTTTTAGTAAGATCCGTCCAGCTTTATGTACATAAAGTTAAAACAATTTATACTAGATAACTCTTGACTCGTACTGAAACATTGAGAACATTCAAATCATCAATGATTAATTACAACGTAAAAGGAAAGAAGGGAAACAATCAAAACGACCAATAACATGATTTTTAGCAGTTAATGATTGAGATATTCTGGTAACCGTTTCTTCACACACACGAATAAAAACAAAAATGTTTTTGGCAGAAGTTCTAGACAGCAAAACAACTAAAAGATGGATGAAAGACAGGGGTCACACACCGGATGTTGTACCAATCATAACTGGGAACACAATATGGAAGAGTGGAATTAGAGTCGTATGCACAATACGACGGAAGAAACACGGATCGTTATTACAAACTAGGTCATTTCCTAACTAATTTTTTACTAGGATGTGAGGGAAAACAACTAGAAAGGCAGGATGTGCAGCGTCCAAAAAACTCATACCCTCGCTTTGATATACAAATGCTTTCGAGAAATCGCGTAAAAATCATTAACATCAGTGAACATATTATATTAAGCCAAATGTGCACACAGCGCTCAACGTAGAAATAGCCATTGTCCATGAATTACGTCAGCTAATTTTTCGCTCGTGGTAAGTAATGTATAACTACGATGAAATGTGTGATCACGACCTGACACAAGTTAATGCACATGTCGCACCCGTTTTCATTCGGCCGGTCGATAGCAAGCAGTGGCTAGACAGATATAATCTTATGATTTTGACTACTTGCTTAGATATGATGCAAAAAGGGTGAATCACACATTTCAGCGCGATTAGAGAGTCCATGGCGAACGTCCCACACTTCGATGACACGATGATATGCACACATGACATTGACTTTGAGATATCCTAGGTCCTAAGTATAAGACGGATTCATGGATACCCAAGACATCGGAGAGTGAAACACGTGTAACTGCAAACATGAACCGTTAAAAATGGCGGTAATGTCTTTTCCACCCCTCCTATGGGAAAGAAGTAACCCTCTTACAAAGTGGTGTGACCACGAACACCTATGATTTCATCACTAATGAGCTGAACACTGCTTTGCAGAAGTTCATAATTTAGAACAGGCAGATACGTCTGCAAATGCAGAACGCTCACCCGTAATGATAATCATTACACATCTACGACTTCAGCCAAAAAAAGATCATTGAAATATTGGGATACAAGAAACCTGTAATGGAACAGAGGAAACTAAAAAAATATTGAGGACTGACAATGAATCACAACATCATAAAACAGTCAAATTTCCCCGAACCTTCATGTGAGGGGATTTTTTTTCTCCTTTGATTACAAAATAAGGGAGCAGCAGCTGAAATCTTACCGAAACAGCAGCAAATTCAATGGAAATCATTGTCAACATGCCAAACGTCTTATTTATGAAAGTGCACGGGAATCTTTTCGCCGATTGCCTTGATTAGCGGCATGTCGTTTTCCGGATTGTTCCTTGCTTCAATCTCCATGAATCACTCAATCTTCTTGATGACTTAAGTTATCTTCGCGAAGACGTAATTCATCTTCGTAAAGGCATTGCACACGTGCCTTTGGTAGTCCGTCCCGCTGCATCGGCACCCTTGCGATTTTCCGTCCATGACAACTATGCGTCAGTCGTCGTCATCATCATCGTCATCACTCGTAAGGACATTAGGATCGTATGGAGGGTAGAGAGTCTCAGGCTCATCATCCACTACTCCGAAGGGGGCAAGCAAAGGACATTCTGGGAAGCGTTTCACCAACGAGCTCTCCAGGAGAATGGGCGACGGCTGAAATTAGATGACACTGTAACATGGAGGAGACAAACTCAACGGATTTATGAACTTCCGAATAGCGATCACGAAATCTATGGGAGGTGCTCCCTCACTCACTGCAAAACGCACTGCTTCGTACAGAAGTTGCATAAAATCTTACGTGGCGTTTTCTGGAAGGATTTGTCGGGCGGAAGTATGCATACGGATTTTCAATCAGCTCTGCAGGATCCATGAGTGTTGTAGGTGTGTTATTTCTACTCACAAAATAGTCGGTTATAACATCATCTGAGCCAAAACCTCTAGCATCATCCCGTTCCTTGCCAGACTGCTGAAAAGAGAAAAGATCGTATGGTAACAAAAGAGGAAAAAAGCGTGTCTGCTCCCACTAACCGCTCTCTCGTACTGAAGCCGCGACATGCCTAGTTCGATGTAGTCCCCAAAATGTTCACGCATTGTTCGCCCTAGCCATGATACTGCCGAAGCAGATCTGTTGTATATGTAGTTACGTTATATGTATTAACGAAGTCAACACATACCTTTTCCTCTGCTTGCTGGCGACTGCAAATCCCCGAATCAATTCGGAACGCGCAGCTCTGCAGCGTCCAACATTATCAATGGGCTTCAAACCCATCAGTCTGTAGAAACAGTGACACAATAACCTGGCTATCACATGAAAACAAAAATTCCAAAAATTGTACAAACCTCTTCTTCTCCATTTCTGCATAAAGTACAATCTGATGTATCCAGATTCCATAGGCTGGGAACTGATCGAGTGTACTTAAGTCAGGTCGAGGCATCTCGAGTGGAGTAGAACTTTTTATTTTTTCGAACCTGAATTGAAGATGAGGATATGACTTCATTCTAGTTCGGTAGTTCAAAAAGAGTCGGATCACTCACCTAGCATTCCTTCTTCTTTCATAATAATCAATTTTCTGGAATTGTTTTATCTTCTCCCGCATTTCCTTACGCTGATCCAAAAATTCTCCATCTTCATTAGTTTCATGAACAAAGTGGTTAGCGTACTCATGACATTTCATCCTAGAGATAAGCACATCGTTGCCGAACTTCGGTACAACAGGACTTACACATCCAGGATTTTGTAATCGCTTGACTCCTTCCTTAACATGAATCTTGGCAAAGTCTCTGGAAGCGGGGCAGCATCCAAAGCATTCTGGATCATTGCTATCCAGTCCAGCTCACCCGTCTTGAAATGATATTTGGTTAGATACACAGTCACAATACTACAACTAGTTCTAAGCTGACATCTTTGGATCTTATGATTTTCAAGGTCTCAATCTGATCAAGAGAGTTGAATGATGCGGTGCTGAACGTGTTGGCAGCTGTGAGATCGTCAGTAGACTCATCGTTAGCTGTCGAATCCACAGTTTTCATTTTCAGGTACCCTTGTTCGCAATCCACCTACAACAGACCACATAAATTAAGAGGAAACATGCCAATTGCAGATATCTGGAACCTGGCCATTTACCGTATACTGTATCTTCCTCCCCGCGATGACCGTCGTGACAGTGTTCGCATCGCAGCATTTCTTCGATGGTAATTCACAGGAGCCGAACTCGGTGTCGTCGTCCTCATCGTCGATCACCTGCACTCTAGCTGGACTGCTCGGGTACACTACGTCCATACATTCGCCCTCATGATGCAAAGACGTCTGCAGTTCGGCATACTCCCTCTCGTCCACAGCGGTTTCTTGAATACTCGCAACCCATTTCCTCACTGCTTCTACAGACTTCTTCATTCTATGGCTCTTCAAGCTCAAGTCACCATGTTGCCCAGTCGACGGATGGAAGATCTGATGAAAAACTTTTCAGGCACTTGAGAAAGAAAGTACGAAGAACTCACCGTGTTCTCAACAGCGCTGCCCATGATTCGCTGAGCTTCTTCCATGGCTTCATTGCTGAGTTGTGGAACATCTGCTGGGATCGGCTTATTGATGCAGACGTTTACAGTTCCACACTCGAAACCAAATACCACCTGTCCACAAGGGTAGTTGAACTCAGCTTGATTGTGTAATGCGACACTGGTTTTAAGGTCGGCGTAGACAGAGTTCAACTGTAAGCACAAGAGTCAGTAACTCAGAATGGGCTGACACCAAAGTACCCTCTCAATGAGCTTCTCGATGTTCATGACATGATTTCGCATATGACTCTGCGCTCGCGATTCAGTAACACGAGATACGAAGTAACCTCTGGCAATGGGTGAAAGAATGTAGAGATGACGATTCGAGAGCGAAAGAACCGACTTCTAAAGGCAAGAGTATTCAAACTTTGATTTGCGATAGTGATCTTACCAAGGCATTGTTGTGGTAGTACGTCTCAATTTCGTCAAAAATCTGCTTTCGACAGAGGTCAACAACAGCATGGGATGGAAAGAGGTAGGAGAAAGCATCGGACCGATTGTTGTCTAGAGCTGCTCCAAAGCCAATCAGATCTTCGAGTGGAGATTTGATGAGAGGCATTCTAGCGTTCAGTACCTTCTCCAGCTGTAAATAGAGTAACTTGCTCTTTATCAGGAAAGCGTATATGCGAAACAGATGAAGAAAGGGAACCGTATTCTTTGATTAAACAAGAGCTTACATCAAATTCTTCACTCTTGAAAGGGCATGCGCCGACTTGAAAAAATGGCGCTAGATCCACTGAAAACACTTCCTCGTTTATTTTCGATGGTAAAGCTTTCGAATTCCACAGTGTCTTCTGCTGTAAACGCTTCAGGATGTCAGGAACCATGATCTGCAAAGGAACGTTCAAGCTGGCCGTACACAACTAACAGATATGGTGAGCAATGATTCTCACCAGTTTAATGAGCGACAATGCTAAGCCGTGAACGTGAGTGTAGATGGAAGTGCAATTGCCAGTATTTCTTCAAAAAATGCAAATCAGAAGAACAATTTGAAAACGGGACTATACAAAGTATATGAAACTCACCTGCACCACTCCTCGAACCTTCGTAGATACGACGCACACGTATCGATGTTACAAGAAAGCGCAGCAGAAGCATTCATTTCAAAAAGAAGGCAGTACATACGAGCGTCAAACTACAATAGAAAAAAGATACAAGATTACGATAACATTATAATCAGACTTACAAGTTCACTATGTTTCTCCCATAGGCATGTCTGATACACGCTGAACACAGCTATTTGAACGGTGCGAGCAGTGAATCCCCACAATTCGTACAGGAGATCCAGGAGAAACATCTGCGCATCAAGGAGAAAATGCAGCGACCAGTGCATTTTATCTCGAAGACCCTTAAAAGTAACTTCTTAGACGGGGTTTGCTATGGCGAGATTACTGTAGAGCAGCGCACCGCTATGATTGTCCTGGCATTATCGACTTGCTCCAAAACACAACCAATACCCTTCTCGAACTGCTCCACCGCATGCTCCAAGCTACCTTCGGCACGCGGAAGAGACAAACAAATGGGGGATAAGGGGCTCAGCGAATTCAACAAGGGAGCTGAAAATACCAAGTTAAAACTTGAGCCACTTTTGACTACACAAATCAATGTGTGCTACATCTTCATTCAACTCACATGTATCGATGTCAATTTTTACGATTGGATTTTTAGACTTAACCATAGTGAGCTGAAAAGCAGCATTTAAAACAAACACAAAAAACACTAAAAAAAGACCCACATTGAAATCAGAGATCAAGTGATTCCGCTGCCGCGACACTGTGGAAACCACCTAAAAATATCAGCCTGATTTTCCATCAATAAAGATGTAGAAAAGCGTACCAAATCGTGGTCTGAAGCAAATCTGCTGATGCGAGAACTTCCAGGCCAAGATTCCTAAAAATGCTCGTTTTGAAATTCAAACTGTGTAGAGTGCAACAATGTTAATTAGAAGCTTCAACTTACATTACAAGTCACAAAAGACTTTTCAAACCGGCTCTCTCTCAAGTGACGGACGAGATTCTTAAAGAAATACAATGAGATGCCTCTTAAAAGGGAAGGATACTTGGTCGAAGTGGTGTTCCCATATGAAATGCATAATTTCTTCTAGACCGTAAATTGTTGATTCCAAATCTGCTTTCGTTACCTGCAATACGCTTCTGGGAGAGGAGTTATGGGGAATTTTTACGCAATGATTTTTAGCGCGCTACTGCAATAGAACCAATCAGGACTGCAGTCTGCAAGCTTAAATGGGGCCATGATAACTTGTGTTTTGGTGTTTTGTGTCTAGGGTGTTTTGTGCAATTAATACCATCAGTCTTATGAGCTTATGCTAGTCACTACACCTTTTGAACGCGCAGAGATCTCAAAACCTGCTCTTACCTCAGCCAAACCCTTAAATTTTGCCACAAAAAATTCCCATAACTCTTCTCCCAGAGATGCATTGCAGACACCGTAAGCAGATTTGAAATCAGCGTTATTTGCTCTATGAGTCAGTATAAATCTCATATGGAAACTCCACCTCGAATAAGTATCTTTTGCCGTTATCTTTGAGTCTGATCCAGCTACAGGGTTTGAGGAACCAAGTTCTTCTACACTTGTAGTCTTCAAACTTTGACAGCAGGTACCAAATGCAGATGAACTCACCAGTAGCCTTTTACCAAAGAAGCCCATGCTACCATTGGACCCATAATCAGGCTCAACTCTTTGGATCACAACTCCGCTACTGGATTTCCTTATACGAAGCACAATTCTGGGTTTATCCGGAGGATGTGCAGCAGCCAACGCTTTGGTCTTGGAACGCGTCACCACCTCTTCCCTAACGTGCCTCTCCTTCTGAAAAGATTTGTTAGTTTCAAGAAAAGTAGTTACTTCTGATGTGGCTTGCCTTGGATTTCGACCGTCGTTTCACATGTTCTCCAATACCAAACAGATCAGGGGATTCGATGAACGATGACTCGATGTGCTGTAATTCGTCAGTATACTATGGGGTGGCATTGCACACAAGGAAAGACATACCGATAAGGACGAGTAACCCGTCTGTAGTCGGTCATCGCTTTCCAAGAACTAAAATGTACAACTGATTCAGTCACGACATTGTTCACACAACAAAAAAAGTGATTTGAACATGACTTGAATCACGATAAACAAACCTCTGAGATGCCATTCACCTCTGCGGCTACTAATCTGTTGCACGACTGCGGTGGATGAGTGTAAGCAACCTTCCGCTCTTGAACTGTGGATTCATGCTGAATATACGTGCAGTGTTTCCGAGAGGCATAATGTTGAATCTACAGTTACTCACATGCTTCTTTCTACTCCTTCTCCTCTTCGACTTTGGCGTATCTCTGCTCGACGCCACATCCACCGACTCCACCTCTTTATGCGAGTCAGAACCGGGTACTCGATAGTCTGTTGACTGTATGGTATCAATGCTGGATGTTTTTCTCCTTTTGACTGGGACTTCGTGAACTGCGCTAGAATCCTCATCCATATACTTTCGTCGGAGCGACGTTTTACCGCTATGTGCGCCGCTACCCAGATGCACTTCCGATTTTGTAGTTCGCAGAACTGGCCCCGCAGGTAACTGACTCAACAACTCAGCCGACTTGACCAAAAAGTCCATGAGATCTGTGAGCGTAGTTTCCTCTGCTTTGGAACGGGAATCTAGATATCTTGACCGCGTGAGAGCCTTTTCTCTGAATGGTCCGTGCGTGGCTATTTCGGTCCCACGGAAAGACTTCTCGATAACGTCTCCAACGCGGGAAGTCGCAAATGTCTTCGACGCCTCCTCAGTTTGTCCCTCCAAACAGAAGAATGTACCCAGATCGACTATGGAAATTAGCGTAGCTTCTGCCTTAACGATGGGAATGGATACAGAGGCGAACTGGTGCTCTACCGGTTTTTCGTAGGCATGATCTACGGCAGAGGTGGAAAAAACCACATCGTCGTGGATGGAGACAAATTCCGGTACTGTCACTACATCGCCTTGGACAAGGGGGTTACGCACAGCTGCTACAGCCTTCAATGCAAAATCTACGTCGACAACATTCAAGACCTCCAACTCTTGAGTGACCAGAGGCACTATGCCGGTGATGTTCAAAACTTCATCTGTTTTGAGAAACTCAAATGACCCCTCCACAAGATTTTCTTCCCAGTGGGCCCAAAAGTCTGCCTTTTCCGTAACTTTGAGGTCGCATATATGATTGACTGATGCTCCATCATCGCTCAAATCTCGAGGCGAGATGTCAGCATGCACATCTTCGGCAATGTGAAACCTGTCGCTCTCAGTAACAGCAATCGCGAAGATTCGACTTGACGCTGACTCCTGCGGTTTCCTCATTGCTTCAAATAAGACAGGTTCTGCCACAAACTCTTCTTTTGCAGAAACATGGTGGCCTGCTTCTAAGAAATCTTCTACTATGAAAGCAACGTCTTCCATCTCCTGATGGTGTACGCTCAAAATCGAAGCGTTGGTTTCAGCTGTTGAAACAAGAGCAGTTGATTCAGTCTCAAAGTAAGGGAGGCACTCATTGCTGGAGGCATTCGTACCGCTCTGTAGTTTAGAAGACACCGATGCAGTAGTTTCAAAAGAGACTTGCAGTGCATCTAACATTGTCTCTACCCTCTGGCATACGTCTTCAGACTCTTCGGCGTTCAGAGGACCCCCACTGCAAAGCACATCAGCTTCTTTGAAATCATTCAGAGGCTTTTCCTCCGCTGAAGTACTTCCAGAAGCCACCAGCGTAATAAGCGCTTCAACAGCGAGGACGGCTGGCGAAGGTGTCAAATCCGAAGCCTTAGGCAACTCGGAAACCACTATCTCTCTTTCGCACACTGACTTCTCCAGTTCTAGCCGTTTGCTTTTCGATGGAGATGCGCCTGGAGTCGTCAATGTGACATCGCTGATAGATTTCTGCCACTTCTGCAGTTTCTGCGACTGAGTCTCATCTTCATCGCCTGAGTTCGATGTGGTCAAAGCGTCAGAGAAGAATGTGTCCACATTCACATCCACCAGATCCTCATCGTTTATCGGCTCCTCAGCACTTATCAAACTCGCCTACAAGGAACACTTGGAGATTAACAGAAAGCGCAAAAAACGCCAATAATCCCTGAGATTTAAAGATAAAATCCAATTCCCAATAGGCACTAACTTTTTGAGGTTCGCGCTCAGACTGCTCCAGCATAGCGGCAAATTGGGGTGCCGAAACACCTGATTCGCTGGTCTGTTTCCGTGTTTCCTCCACAGAGCCTAGCACCTAGGAATTATAGATTAGTCTCAGTCAATCAAGGGTTCTTGCTAACCTTAGACACCACATTCGCAGCAAGCCCAACATTTGGCGATCCGTCATGGTCATAATTATGCTGCCGCTCGGCTATTGCTTTACGATACTTCTGAAAGAAAGAAGTTGATTCTAGCAGAACATGTATGTCCAAAATCATATAGAGCTGAAATGCTCAGACGCACCTCAGAATTACGCCCTCTTGGCTTACTTCTAAGTGGAGGCGGTGGGGGGCTCTGAAGAGAGAAATAATTGATTTGAATCTCAGCGCTCTTCTCAAAGACAACAAGTCCTGTATACCCTTTCATTGACAGGTACATTTAGATTTCTGTATTCTTGACGCTTAGAACGGACCCTTTCCGGTAGATAATCCCAACTCCGTCTAGATCGTGATTTTATCTAGAATACCAACTTATGACGAAGAGTATTTTGTTCTTTCTTACATATGTAAAAAGCACAGAACGCAGGAGACAAAAAAACGGAAGGAAATGTCTTGAAAAGAAGGATAAAATTCTCCATTGGTAGAATGCAGCAGCAAAAACTCACATCTCTCTTCGGCTCCAATTCTTCAAGTGAAATTTGAGCAACAATCTCCTTCAGTACCTCTCCGACTTCATGCAGTATATTAGCGTCTATAGCTATTTGTGGATCCAAGAGCTACAACAAGAAATGCGCTTGAAAAAGCAAGCATATTGAACAAACTTACTATTGGTGGTACTTCCACTGGTACCTCCACAGTTGGGTCATCGATAACTTTGAGGGCCAAGTCAAGTACAGGCAATTCCCGATGTTTGATGGCAACTTTCTCAGCAATCTCTGCATCCCTGATGGCTTGTTTCTGCTTGGCAAGTCGACCTCTGAACTTCTTATGTGGGCGACCTGCTTTCTGAAAGAAGCTGGATATGGGAGGGAACAAAAATGCAAATTTAGAACTTGCTTTTCTCTCCCTTGAAGAATCGTTCACATCGCCTTGATCAAAGAAACCATTCGTTGCAGGTGGAGGAGCCGATGCTATCAGCTCGCGTATACTGGCCTCTATAGCATCATCAGTCGAAACCACATCAACATATATGTTCTCTCCATCCTCCTCCTCCTGTTTGCGTAGACGATTTCGAAGAAAGGTCTGAACCCCAACATCAAAATGCTCTACTATGCCAAAAAGACGCGCCGGGCGAACGCATATCGGAACAAAGAAAACTAAAACTTTTTTCCAAAAATTAGGTGTGTCAAAAACATACCTGAAGCTTCTCTTCTGACCAAAGCGGAACGCGATGAGGTACGACCTCGCTGACAGGACAATGTCGAGCCAAACATCTTGGTCGTCTCTTCAATAGTACAGGTTGATAAAAGAAAAGAAACAGCATTCTGAGCACCGCACCTGGGATCTGGATCTTGGTGCAGAGCCACCCCCACTTGCTGCCTCCGATTTGGATCGCCTCGCGCGCCTATTTGAAACGTTGTCATTTTTCTGAAACCAAGATCTTACGAAAGTAGGTATGGGATAGAAAGAATTATCAAACCTTGGTAAGTCTACTTTGCCGACCCTCCGCGACCTGGAACAAGGGTTTTTGGTAAAGCAAACTAGAGTCATAGTAACATACTAGAACGAGATCATCATCCTCTTCACTCCGAACTGGCTCTTTCCGTCTGCTTCTGACTTTAGCGTATGCCGACTCCTGCAAGATTGCTCAATGCGCTACTACAATGAGTATAGGCAACCTTTACTCACTAAATCGCGGACGTCTGTCCTCAATTCTTCTTCCTGGGGTCTACTCCAAGGACTGATAGGTGCTTGTATCCTCTTCCACTGATCTCCTCGTCTTACAAGCTTTTTCTCGTCACTCCTGCTCATCGAATGCATCGCGTACACTCCACCAGCCGTAGGCTCCCTAGGTCTTGCTTCCATGCTGGTCTTGTCGTCCAACACTCTCAACAAAATCGTGCCATCCGGAAGTTTGATACCCCTCCGCAGTCTTCCCTTTTCATCTCTGAGTAAGACGGTTCGCTTCTGATTTTTAACATCAGACGCGGACGGAGCCGAGTTTTGGTCGGATTCATGGCTTCTGTTCTGATTAGAAACGCCGAGCATCTTATCTCGTGACCGAGAGATATGAACATCTGCGATGTTATTCTGACCGATTGAGATGGGAGCATCGTTGCTGTCATCATCAACCTGGATATAAGGCTCCCCATCGATGTCATCATGCTGCGTGTCCAGCACAGTCTCCACCGGCCTGCCACTAGAGGCACTTCTCCTATAAGCTGAAGCTGCTGGCTGAGCAGTCCGCCCAGAAGAATGACTCCTTGGGTACACATGCTCGCTTCTAGTGACACCATTCTGCAACGATACTACGTTTCCTGTCACTGATTCAGACATGCGAGGGGCGGTGATGCCAGCCACGGTCCTGAGAAGAGGTGCTCTCCCAGGCATTGAGCTACTCGACACATGATGCTGCTGTGCCATGGAGGTAGCCGAATTGTAGTTGAATCGAGGAGCCTGGTCTATCCTAGAAACTCGAGCTCCTTGAGGTCGCACAATAGCTTGAGCAGTAGCGTAATTAGCGGCTCCCCTTCTGGCTGAGTCGGCCATTTCACGAAGAGAATGGACGGGTCGGTGAACATATCTAGAGCAAGTACATCGATCTTGATCTACACTATGTCGGCAATTGCCCACCTTGATACATCCGCAGCATCTGGAATGGCTGGCTGGCCCCGAATATCATCAAGATTTACCACATAACGACCAGTCTCGGGATCAATGCTTGGCTGAAACAACGACAGCAAAGGTCCATCTAAAAAGAACATGTATGTTACCTCAATTGTTCTGTTGTGAATCATTCGCATAGCCTTGCTTCCAGTTGAACGTTGATGCCTCAAGGTCCTGAAGCAAAAGCGTGAAAGCAACATTACATAATATCCACAGTGGATAATAAGATGGTCAGCTCTGTTTTTCACCGAGCAAGACTTACTTAGATGGGCCAGGAGGCACACGGCAAATGAATGTTCTCGGATCTGACGGTCTTGCTTCATATTCCTGAAAAGCTTGCCCATTCATAAGCTCAGCGATACATATAGACAGATGTAATGAGAATCGTTGATAGCCGATTATCGACGATGACCTACCACATAGGAAGGAGCCTCCTGCTCCCGATTCACAAAAGCATCATTCACCAGACGTTTTATATCCGCCCGTTTATTGTGCTCAAACGCTTGGACCCGTGCTGCTCCTACCTCATCGGGCACTGGTACCATCTTAACGAGGGAAATGTAGATGAACTGGACATTGATGAGTGCGATGCAAATAACCTCAGTCAAAGGAGGTTGTTGTGGTATCTGAGTCAACCTGGTGGCAGCAGCTACCGGATGGGATATGAGAGTTGCTTGTGACATGGGTTTCGGCTGCCCTATCCTTTGCGGTATTGAAGAAGCCCTAACTGCTTGGAAGCCTTTGGGGATACCCTGCAAAACCATTGCTGTAAAACGCAAGGGGTTAACAGCGTCACTTACCTTGGGTCTGACTTTTTGTTGCTCTGCGTAATCCGGAGGTGGCTTTGGTTGGGGTTTCGGCCCCCGTTTCACGATAGGTGCTTTACCGACTCCACCTCCAGCGCTTGCATAGAAGCTACAGAAAGTATTTATGAGAGCTGATTCTGACGTTTACTATAGACAACCCACTATTTCCTTTCGAACAACCTCAAGAGACGACTAGTGAGCTGACGAAATTCATCTCGCATCTTGTCATCCCATCTGAATGCACATTTAAGTGTTTTCTTTGATATGATAGCGAACACGAATATCCCCTACTCCTCATAATCCGGAAATAGTGGAAACACTTTGCCAAACTGTATGTCCTGGATGTACCTCGTTTGATCTACAACAATCAAGATCCAAATGTACGTGAAGTTCTTGATGTGATTCAGCCTTACCATGACTCGGAGGATCCCTAGTATCAATCACAGTACGAAAAAACCCGTGTATGTGAGCACCGCGAGAGTGAAACCGATACAAATCGCTAGCAAAAGCTTCAACCGGCTTGTATATCGTGTCGGCCTCGAGCATTTCAATATTTGCAAACGGAAAATACCGTTCACAAGCTTTCTTATAATTTACTAATAGATACTCCTTTTTCTCAGTCGGGGAAAGATTTGGCGGGAAGTACGCTGAAACGAAGGTGCCAAATGTATGAACCATCCTTTACGTCAACTCTTACGTCTCTGTTGCATTTTGAGTGCAGGTAAACCTGCGCCTCCACCTTCATCATCATCCGCCATGATCGCAGATCTTTCACCAACGAAGTACTCATGGTCTTCCAGTTCAACTCCGTCCCATTCCCCTTCATCGTACTCCTGAAAGTAAGCCGATGCATCGAAGAAAAACATATCCTGACCAAAACACAGGGATACTGCGCGAAAGCTGCTTTCGCAGATCCTGTATTCAACTATGTTTTGAGCTGTACCAGAAGATGTAAAAAAAAATCAACAAACCTCTTACCCCGCTTAGGCTAATAAATCTTCACTTCAAAGTTTATCCAAAGAAAAATCACTATTCAAAACCTAAAAACGCTGCTTATCAAAAAACGAGTCAAGATTCTTTGAGCACCCTACCGGACGAGTTCTCCGGTAAAGTGCGCATTTAAAAAGATGCCTTCATCCTATTGCACTACGTGATTGGCTCTGCCTTTTCAGTAGCGAGCCAATGGGTCCTAACAAGGATGACTTCTTCTATACAGCTTATTTGGGATGAACAATTATGTTCAAAGGTAAGGGCTCCTAGTTTGTGTTGCTCTATTATTTGTTTAAAGAATGAACTTCCACATTTGATCACCCGACATCCAGGAAATAGGATTACCCACTGGCAACACATGATGGCTATGATGTGGTCCACTGAGGCTGGGTACGTACGATTCGTAAGTTCCGGAACAGTTCCAGCACAGCACACAATTCGAGAGCTGTGCTAGAACTGTTCCGGAACTTACGGATCATTATGAACCCAGCCTAAGCAGCTGCATGAAAGCTTCGCAGTTTTTCCTAATTGAAGTTCATGGGAAGAGGGCCCCCTTTTTTGTATTAGAGAATATACTGAATTAGAGCCATACATTACACTCTACTTCGATCACAGAAGCTTCTCTGTGCCCGTTTGTTGCGATCAAATCCCTACATACAAATCAAAAATAAAGGCTTACCTGCACAAGATAGGCAAGCGAGTCATCCTCCAGATCACCATAGATTGGCCGTCGCGGTTGTGACTTGGATCTTGATCTAGTCACGGTCGGTGGCCTTTGTTGTACTGGGATGACTGGTTGACTGGAGGTCCCTTCGAACATCGCCTTCGGCCTCATCTCGTATTGTATATGCGCATTTTGCGGGACTTCGTACGGTTGTGGTTGCTGTTGTACTATGTAACGAACTCTACTGCTCCCGGCCATGGGCATAATCTGTGAAGGCTCCGGACGGACAGCATGTTGGGGAAGAGACCTAACATAGGTTGGCATGCCCCTGACCACTTGTCGGGGAAGGCTCTGGATGTACTCGGTGGGCTCAACTTGAGGTTGCATCATCTCATCCACTACGACTTCATGTGCAGCTACTTGAAGACTTTCTACTGACTCAGTCATCTCATTGAAATCTCGCTCTTCGTCAGGCATCAAGTATATCTCATCACCAGTAGTAAGAATTTGCTGCAATAACCTCTTTACTCGACTTTCACACTCTACTTGTATTCTGCTCTCTAACCTGATTGACTGTCTGCATATCGCCATACTGTATGTCTTCAAAAGACGTTGTTATGTCCTCCTGATATATGATATCTGACAAAGGTTGGACCCAAACATTGTCTTCAGCGACCATGTAGTGAGGCATGGCCACTGATGGTTGACCAACAGGACCCCCACTTGTGGACGGATCCACCTGTTCAACAAATAGCCCATCCCCGTCCATGGTCCCTCCAGGATCGATGTCATGGTCACTGGACATCCTGAAGCAGCTGTTTCAAGTAATACGAAGAATCTACAGCGGCGCATGTTTCCTTCTGTTGGGCCGATTTTGGAATTAGTAGGTTGGACTGCCCTCGCAAAATTTTGGTAGGCACGAGAAAACCAGCGAAAAGGGCATTGCCTGCTATATGGCGACTAATGACCTTTCGAAAGTGAATTTTACCAGTCCCAGCGAAGACAAAATGAGTAGTTCACAAATTTCCCTAGCATCAAAAATTATTATCTCTTCTCAGAAAATAAGAACCGTTTCGAAAAGCGCGAAAACCTCAAATGCGAAATTACCTTGAAACAGAAAAATCTGCAGTGCCTTTCGACAGCAATCATTCAACGCCGTTTTCCCGACGCAGCGTTCACTGTTTCAAAGGCAACGAAATATATCTGAATAAGGTAGGCCACCATCAGTAGAATAAGTGTAAAAAATACTTTTAATCGTCACGCTAAGAAATAAAACAATAAAAAAAGAGGAATGTAAGTAAACGCGCCTGACGACGACCAGGCCGAGACTCAAGCAGACAGGCAGCGTTGGCGAGAGAGTACGTTGAAGCAGGAGGGCAGGCGGCACGACGACGGCAGATGCGTTGAGGGCGGTTGGAGCGAGAGAGCGTTGGCTGGCGGAGACGGAGGGAACGACGACGGTGGTGTGTCAACTCCGGCGAGGCAAGCACGTCGTGAGCCGTAGCGGGTCCCCGTACGATTGACCGCAAGCGGTGCATTCTGCTCGATGAGCAGATATCGTGAAACTTCTTCGCATGGCTGAGAGGAGACTTCTCCTCATTCTAGTTCTAGTCTGAGTAGAGTGTTATGCTATGGAAGGATACGCGGCATTCCAATTCTTTGCTTCTATTTCTCATACAGAACGATATGTGATGAATGTGCTAGGAGTACTGTTACGGTTACCCAGGAAGGTGACGAACAGATGCTATAGGGCTCTGCGTGATCGCGAGAGTCGGTTTTGCGGCCACTGCACGCGCATTGAGCTTTCTCAATCATCTTTCTCCTTTCAGCCGCTTTTCTGTTATCAGATGTTAGCTTTCATTTACCTGAAACGACTTCGCAAAATACGGGATTGTTTAGCTGGTTGAGGCCTTGCGACATCGGGCGTGTGCAATGGCCGCACCCTCCCCGATTCTCGCAATCATGCGCAGCCCTATAGCCCGTTAAATGTACATGCCTTACGTGCTCTGCTTTCGTGTAGACCCGTCTGTTTCGTTATATTTGGGAAAATTCGAGAATTTTTTCGAATATTCGATTATCGGATAACATTTGAATATGACTATCGACTAGTACTCGAATGTCGGGTGTTATTCATTATTCGAATTTCGAATAATGTTCGGTTTTTTAATATTATTTCGATTACCTTTCGATTTTTGAATATCCAAATAAATTGTCAATAAGATGGCTGCTCATAAGAGACTAAAACATCTTTTATATCACAATTTGTGGAAACAACTTATTGGTGACATCAAGAAACTTGAGAACCTAAAAGTGCGGTTGTGAAGAGAATTTTGAATTTCAAAGAAGATTATCATTTAGAATCGATGCATCCCTGAGTAATGAAATCGAGCAACTACTGCATACACGAACGGGTCGCCTTGCATACTATTCATGTTACCGCACGAGGAACATCCAAACACATATATACATATAGTTCATTTATAAAATCGTGACGACGGATTTTAGTGCGGACTTTTCGCCCATCGGAGAATACAACGCTCATACAAGAAGGCATCACCTCAACGTTCAGCTTAGCCACTTCCAGTGTCTAAATATTATCATACATAAGCAAAAAACCATTCGACTAGAGATGAAAACCAAGAAAATGCAATTTCCGGAAGTTGCGCGTGTCGCGCGCGGTCGCGCCATCGTTACGACTTTTCGAATGCCCTATATATACCTTCCATTGGGAGTTGTGGAAGTTATGCAGGGTGTCCCAAAGGATGCTCTTTATCGTCATAGGATTACCGTAGGAAACTGAAGTGTTTTGAGACGTTAAGAGCCGTATTTTGTCTATGAAAGGAAACAGAAACCCCAAAAATCTTACATTAGACTTTTAGAGTCACTCAATTTGGATATGAAATCTGCACTCAACCGTAATGCTTTTTCACAAGTTAGGCCAGGTACATACAACTCAACAAATGTTATTCAGCGCTTTGCAAGAACGTGAATACACATAAAAAACCTGAAAAACTCGTGAAAAGCTGTATGATAAAGTAACATACGCAAAAGTCTAACACACAAATTTTAGATTTTTCTCGAAGAACTTTCTTCCAACGTCTTATTTGGCATTGCTCTAAATGCTGGAAGTTCCTACCGTAATCGCTATAATAAAAAGAATGGGTGATCCGCTTTTGCTGTAAATGTAAGTTGAAGTCAGCCCTGCAGAATGTTACCCAAAGGTTGCCAAGAGATCGTATAAGAGGTATTAGCGATCAGACGTTTATGCTATGAATATCGAATTTTCGAATAATCGGTCTTCATCGAGTATTCGAATACTTGATGGACATCGAATAATCAATTTGATGGCCATCGGATATTCGACCATCGAGCAGTGTTCGAAAATTGAGTTTAATATTCGACTCGCGAATACTATCCAAAAATGAACAATTTTGAATAAGTGTAGTTAAAATTTTTAAAATTTCTTAAAAATTCAGTCTAGCCTTATAAAAAAATTTTCTCGTCAGCCATACCCCCTTTTTCTAAAATTTCAGGCTTCTGAGCCGAAAATTTTAGGGAACATACCGAAAATTTTTTCAGAATGCGTGGCTGACGCCACGCAATTTTTTGGGATGCCTCCCAAAATTTTTCCGGCTGCCACCACGCCCCCTTTTTCTAGAATTTTGGGGTCAGCGGTCCGGGAAAATTTTGGGAAGTATAGTTTCTAAAACTCTCCTGAGGACTTTCCAACATGCTCAGGTTGCAGAACTAAAAATGAAAAAACGAGATCATCCGAAATTCGGAAACTTTAAGCAAAAATCCTAAAAATCTGGAAACTGAGTGGTAAATTCCAGAACAGCTAATCCTTTTCTGTAAGCAAAGCGATCCCACTTCAAACTACGTTCAAAGCTTCTGACCAAGGCAAAGCTTTTAGCCGAATAGGGAAAACTAGCGTGGTTAGGAGGGAGGAAGGGAGGGAGGGAGGGAGGGGGTGAGAGATTGTTGCGCATGGTCGATGGTGGGTCAAATTTTCACAGAACGCGTCAGTGGGGATAGAACAGCGATGTAACGTACAGTTCTTTGGGTTCCGATATTCATTCGATGATATGTTTAGAGACGTACTCCAAGACCTACTCTGTGATCTGTTTTTTCAGGTTGCGAATGCTTTATCTCTAAGCGGAACCTTGAATAGTAATAGTGTACATACCAGTAATTTCTTAGTGCATTTTGAGATACAGTTTGTGTCAATTACATATTGTCTTTGAAATACCAAGTTCATTTCATCATGTAAGATCGACTCTCCTAGTCCAGACGATGACTTACCAGCCTGATTCCTAACAAGTGTTTCCGGAAGTCGGTACTTCCATGAATTTCAGGAAATAAGATCCTCCACGCATACAGTGTAAAGATGGTCTTTTTGACAGCCGCGTTCGTCAACACTTAACGTACAGCAAGACGGTCAAATGCAGGCAGTCGACAATGTAACCGCGAGCACACATCGACTATTCTGATGCATCAGCGGGACTTTAGACATCCGAGACGCATTGATCTGACACAAGATCTTCTTTTCATAACGAAAATCTCACTCGCATTGGGAGGTTAATAGATACTCAAGAGGAAGGGGAGGACGTAACAGAACTTCTACGGTCGCTTAGTTCAGCCCTTACCTTGTGGCGTCCGATATTGAGAGGCATCCACAGCGGTCAGATATCGACTAACAAAGCAAATATATAGTGTATACTTGAAAATGATGAAAGGCACAGCCGAGTACATTTTCCACGTAATGTATAGTCCATGTTCTGAACACCAACGCACGGAGCGGTTAGAGACGTGGGGTTCAGAAGCGTCATAGGCAGTTTAGAGCCAATAGTGCGCCACTCCTTTAGGCGCATTTTTACAGGCTTTTGAAATCACTTTGATCAAAAGATGATGACCTGAAAATTCTTGAGCGAATAGGACGGCCTATAGTGCCTCGCGACAACCGCTCGCCTATGCTAAGCAATCGTGAGCAGTCGTTCTACGAGGCCTGTAGTGTGCTTGCGGTGCGAGAAAATGCGATGAAATTGGCTGAACACAAAACTACGCATGTAATGAAGCTACCTGCGGCGCAAAATGCCGGCATTACTGGCGTAGCTGTTTGTTCAGGCGCAAATTATATCACATCGTCTCGGCACCGTAATCACAATGTATCTAAGGCGATCCACCTCATATTAGAAGTCTTTGGCTTTTGACATCATAAGATAAAGTGCGGTTCATAATTATACGAACAGCCAAAATTTTGTAGTTTTGGACTTTTTGGGAGAAACTCGAAAAGCCGTTGGTACCACGCGAAAGAGCACAGCGGAAAACGGTGTATGATCCATGAGAATGGAACTTGATGTCATTCTTAGAAGTGTTTTTGCGCCTAATGCAAATTTTTTAGCGGTTCATAATTATACGAACACCTCAAACAAAGGTTCATTTTTCATTCAAGATTGCAATCACTTGAGTCCAAATGCTTTGTAGAGTTACAGTAACAAAGTCTGACATATCTGCTACACACTGAACCCAGTGCAGTTCAAAAAGAGAACCGTTACTTTTTTCAGAAGGCTCCAAATGCTTTTGGAGTGATTGCGCTTCAAAAACATCCGTTCTTCTGTGGTTTACGCGCTCTGATTAGCTTCTACCAAAGCTATGAGACAAAATAAGCTCTTTCGATAGGTATTTTGTTTGACGCTTGGAAAATCTGAGCGTTTTCGTGTCGTTTTTCAACCAAGTTCCAACCTTACCACAGAGTTAGCACGATTTTGAGCCTCAAAACTCAGCTTCTCTCTTCGCAAACATTTGATATGAAGCCGCTGCATTGTTTGCGTGATGATGTTTCTGTGAAAAAGTTTTTGGGTTTTTTGTAGAACTGATCTTGAGGCTATGGAGCTAAAAACCAAATAAAGGTGTGATTGCAATAGTAAAAACAGTGTTTTTGGTGAAATGACGTCTGCGTGACCAAAACAAACGCTCAGCGCTGCTGATTTTTTCTAACCAAATATACAGTCTTGTAAGCTTCTACATACCATGTGCTTACTTCATTGTACGGCTTCAGAAGCTGGGTTTTGAGGCTTAAAATCGTGCTAACTCTGTGGTAAGGTTGGAACTTGGTTGAAAAATGGCAGCAAAGATTTTCCAAGCGTCAAACAAAATACCTATCAAAAGAGCTTATTTTATTTCATAGCTTTGGTAGATGCTAATCAGAGCGCGTAAACCACAGAAGAATGGATGTTTTTGGAGCGCAATCACTCCAAAAGCATTTAGAGCCTTCTGAAAAAAGTAACTGTCCTCTTTTTGAACTGCACTGGGTTCAGTGTGTAGCAGATATGTCAGACTTTGTTACTGTGACTCTACAAAAAATTTGGACTCAAATAATTGCAATCTTGAATAAAAAATGGACCTTTCTTTGAGGTGTTCGTATAATTATAAACCGCTAAAAATTTGCATTAAGCGCAAAAACTCTTTTGAGATGACATCCATTTCCATTCTTACGGATCATATAACGTTTTCGGCTGTGCTCTTTCGCGTGGTACCAACGGCTGTTTGAGTTTCTGTCAAAAACTCCAGAAACTTCCAGAATTTGGGGTGTTCGTATAATTATG